CCGAACTGCCCGCCGCCATCGCTACCTACTCGCCCGAGCCGGTCCGAACCGGGAGCATTTCACCCCTGATATCATGTCATCCTTAGTCTTTCTCCGCAGGCCCTATGCAATCTTTGCAAGAGGCATGCCAGTCACTGAGTCCCTCTTTCTCTTTGCAGGAAAACCCATGAATCCTTCTTTCGCCCTGAACCTCGCGGTTTCCAACGTGATTTGTGCGGTAGTCTTTGGACATCGTTTCTCCACAGAAGACAAGATTTTTCACCACCTGCTGGAAGCCATGGAGAAGATTTTCAATGCCTCTGACAGTGTCATGTTTAATGTGAGCTGATTCCGTCTTTCCTTTTTCTAAAGAAAATCAAAATGTGACGGTCACTGAACAATCCTACAGGTTGTGGGTCAAAAAACCTGCAATGGGGACTAAAGGCTAGCTTGGAAGCAGGTCTATTGTTCTGTCCCCGTCCCACACGCACACACACCAACAGACGTCCAAGAGTTAAGGACCAAACCAGCCGACAAAATCCTTTTCCTTATGATAACGGAACTTGGCAGCAACCTTGTGGCTGCCTGCCAAGAGTTTATTACTTACGAAGGGAAGAGATAACTTCTCTCCGCTTCTGGTACATCAAAGTAAAATGCTCAATAATTACAGAGTCAATCAAGTCCAAAGATAATCCAGCAAAGTCTATAGCAAAAGTCCGGCAATGCAGAATGGCGTGGAAGCTTTCAGCTTTGTTCGTCACAAGGCTTGACTGGCCACCATGCTCCTTTTATATCCTGTGGGGTGTGGTCCAGTGACTCAGCCTAATCTCGGGCACGCCTTTTCTTCTGTTGCCCGCGCTTATCTCTGCGACGCTGTCGAGGATCCAGCCAAGACTCATTACTCTCATCACTGTCCACCTGTGGCTGCGTGGACATGCTTGGCCCCGGCCCTATCTCTTGCCCTTCGGCGGACACCGAAGGCATTGCCAGAGAGGAGGGTCCTGGAGAGGGAGGCCTTGCCAACTCCTCTCCTTCACTCTCGGAGTCCTCTCCTGCCGATAACACAGGCTCAGGTAACGGAGCCACAACATCTATCTGCAGCGAGAGGAGTCCAAAAAGTCAAAATGGCGGCCACGACGGTGCAATAAAAAACCCAGCCCCTTTTTTGGGTGGGTCACACAGGTGGCACAGATGTGAAAAGGACAGGTCTTTGATTGAATTGTGGTGGCAGCCATCTTTTTGATCCCATCCTTGCCGAGTGAGATTGGTTGGGTTTCCCGTACAGACAGTCCTTGAGTTACGACCATAATGGAGCCAGCCCATGGTGGTTGTCATTTGTTTTGGTCGTAAAACTTTTTGTGTTGGCGGTAAAATTGTGTGACCAATCATCTGTAATGATTCTCAGTCACCCAGATCATGGTTGTCCCAAAGGTGTTTTTTCAAAAGGCAGCTGGACTTTGTTTTGCCTTGAAGATCTTCCTCAGAACTGAAGAAGCTTCTTGGATGAGAAACGAAAGGTCTTCAAGGAAAACGAAAGCCCAGTTGCCTTTTGAAAAAGCACCTGTGGGACAAGGACAGCCACATTTTTAAGATGAAGAATGATACTGTCCAATGTTCCCCTCCAAGGGGAAATGATAATCTCGGACTTTAAGGGACAGATACATCAATTTGAGACTCTAGACTTAATGTTCTTGCTTATTCCTGCTTTATAGTTTTATTTTGATGGATAGAAACTAACCAAGAGGGGAAAGCAACCTGGAATTAAGGAGAAATTTCTTGACAGTTTGTGGTCGACAGGTAAATCCCATTATCGTTTTAAAGAGACAAAGACCGAAATAATCCTGTAACAGAGTTTATTCTTTGCAAAGGGACTTTCTCTCTAAAGTAGAGAAAGACGGAAATAAAACAATTTACACAAGTTTTTATAGTCTTCAGGACATTCAGAATACACGTCAATAAAGTACCTTGGGAATCAGTTCCAGATCTTACATAACATCTTATATAACATATGCAGTACATAATTCCACCCTGGAAATTCCCCAATTCCCAACAGAAATACCCCTCAAAAACATCAATTGCGTACTTCCTTTAATTAATAAGGGCAAGTTAACCCAGGAACGTATTTCCTGCAAAACAAACATCTTCTCAAAAACAGGAATTACACATTTCCTTTCTCATGTTCTTAAATGTCAGCTAAATTATATAATCAGGTTATACAAAGTAAAACAAAACCTTAACATGATTTCAAAATGGCGTAACTCAGGTTATGCTTTTACAGGAATAATTCCTATTTTTCTCACACAGTTAGAACAATTAACCAGTAGAACAGCTTGCCTCCAGAGGTTCTGGGTTCTCCATCACTTTTTAAGAAGAGACTGGACGGCCACATGTCTGAAATGGGTCTCCTGCTTGAGTAGGAGGATGGACTAGAAGACCTCCAAGGTCCCTTCCAGCTCTATTCTATTTTTTAATTTTAAAATTTTTTAATTTTATTTGTCAAGAATGTATTAGGCAATAAGTATAACCATAATTGGATACATAAAATAGGTACCAATAGAGGAAACATTAGGACAGGGACGGTAGGCACGCTGGTGGGCTGATGCACACCCCTTACAGACCTCTTAGGAATTGGGGGAGGTCAACACTAGACAGTCTTAGGTTAAAGTTTTGGAGGTTTTGGGATGAAACCACAGAGTCAGGTAGAGCATTCCAGACATTGACCACTCTGTTGCTAAAGTCATATTTTCTGCAATCGAGTTTGGAGCAGTTCACTTTAAGTTTGTATCTATTGTGTGCTTGTGTATTGTTGTGGTTGAAGCTGAATTAGTCATTGACGGGAAGGACATTGTAGCAGATAATTTTATGAGCTACGCTTAGGTCCGACCGAAGGCGGCCTAGTTCTAAGTTGTCTAAGCCCAGAACTTCAAGTCTGGTGGCCTAAGGTATTTTATTGCGGGTAGAGGAATGGAGGACTCTTCTCGTAAAATATCTCTGGACTTTCTCAATTGTATTTATGTCCAATATGCAGTGCGGGTTCCAGACAGATGAGCTGTATTCAAGAATTGGTCTAGCAAAGGTTTTGTATGCTCTGGTTAGTAGTGTGATATTACCGGAGAAGAAGCTACGCAAGATTAGGTTAACAACTCGTAATGCCTTTTTAGTGGGCTTTGGCACTTAGATCATTAGATATGAGTATTCCAAGATCCTTGACAGAGTGAGGATCATCTACAAGGTCGTGTCCACTCAGCTGGTACTTTGTGTTCTGATTCCTTTTGCCAATGTGTAAGACAGAGCATTTGTTGGTTGAGATTTGGAGTTGCCAATTGTTTGACCATTTCGACACAAACTCAAAGGTCTTTTTGAAGAGTAGCAGCATTGTCGATGGTGTTAAATATTTTTACATCATCGGCGAAGCAAACGCAATTGCTTATAATCTGATCGCAGAGGTCATTTATTTATTCTAATTGATTGATTGATTCAACGAAGGACCTAGAATTCTGCCTCAATATTATGTTCTACTAAAATAAAAGAAAAAACTGCCTGGACATTCTCAGAAACCCTGAAAAGGAGAATACAATGCTAAGATATTTGCAAATACAACAGTAAAACCAAAAGATAAGAGCAATAAAAATAAGGGGGGGGGAGGAATTAGAAACATAAGGAAATAATCATTCACTGACACTCAGGTTTTTTTTCTTATGCCTCTTCCTCCAAAGATGTTCAAAACAACTAGAATTTAATTCATCCTCAAGTTAAAGAAAGTAGAGTAGAAGGTTCTGGTCATATCAAAGTCTTGATAATTTCTGCCAAGAATATTCTCAAGATCGTTCTCCACCATTTTGCTCTCAAATAGCAATAGAAATAGCACTTATATATTGCTTTACTGTGCTTTACAGTCTTCTCTAAGCGGTTTACAGAGCCAGCCTCTTGCCCCCAACCATCTGGGTCCTCATTTTACCCACCTCAGAAGGATGGAAGCTGAGTCAACCTTGAGCTGGTCAGGATCGAACTGCTGGCAGTGGGCAGAGTTAGCTAGCAATACTGGATTTTAACCACTGTGTCACCACAAAAGTGAGTGAGTGAGTGAGTGAAGGAAGGAAGGAAGGAAGGAAGACCAATAGCACTTACATACTGCTTCACAGTGCTTTACAGTTTACTGTAAACTCTAAGCAGTTTACAGAGTCAGCATATTGCCCCCAACAATCTGGGTCCTCATTTTACCGACCTCAGAAAGTTGGAAGGCTGAGTCAACTTTGAGCCTGGTGGTATTTGAACTGCCAAGTTGCAGGCAGCCGGCAGTCAGCAGAAGTAGCTTGCAGTACTGCACTCTAACCACTGCACCACTGTGGATCTCAGTTCCTTTTGCCTCTGTTTAATCCTTATGTCTTCATTTCATCGATATGGCTGCCTAACTCAGGTGATGTTTCTTCTCTTCCATCAGCTGTACAATATTTTCCCCTGGATTATGCAGCATGTCCCAGGACGTCACCAGAAGGCATTTTGCTCACGTGACATTGTTCAGTCATTCATAAGAGAGGAGATCAAGAAGCACCAAGAAGCAGACCATCGAGAAAAAACCCAAGACTTCATCCATTTGTACCTGGATGAAATAGAGAAAGTAAGTGGATACTCTTTTGTGTGACTGTTAGACAACTTATAATATAAAGGCTTTCCAATCTAGGCGACTTCAAGATGGGTGGACTTCAACTCCCAGAATTCCCCAGCCAGCAAGCTGTATAGTAGCCTTGAGTACCGTCATCTCTGGGGATTGTGACAATGCAGCATCGGAGTGGATAACAGGGCTCTGAGATCTATAGGAGCAAATGACTGCCTTTTTTGTCCCTGCCTTCCTAAAAGAGAGAAATTGCAACTGTTGAAATTGGCAATGTTAAAAAGTCTGTTTATATATACCCTGTTTCCCTGAAAATAAGACCTACCCCAAAAATAAGCCCTAGCATGTTTTTACATGTGTGCCTAATATAAGCCCTACCCCCCAAAAAGCCTTACTTAAGAGCCTGCACAGCTGGCTGCTAGCCCGTTCCATCTGATTGCTCGTGATATGACAGCCATGAGGTGAGGTGGGGGTGGAACTGCCCCATGTGTCGGGGCATGGTTGGACTGGCTGCAGGGGCCCTGAGATAAGCCATTGCAGGCCGTATGGGGCAGCTCCTCATGGCAGTGGCAGCACTGGTACGCCGCAAGCAAGCAGAAGATGAGCCTCCCATACATTGGGGGGAAAAATAAGACACCCCCCAAAAATAATCCCTAGTGCTTATTTTGGGGCCCAAAAGAAAATAAGACCCGGTCTTATTTTCGGGGAAACGCGGGTAGTACCACAGAGCAAACAAAGAGTACAGTCACCATGTGCTTTACTGCTCAACTGTTTTAAACTGTAACAGGAAACAGGAAACTCTCCTCAGAACAAATAGAACCATAGATTATAACCATAGATGCAAACTAAACACTGCCATCTCCTAGCTGAATGATTCTGTAATTGTTACAATACAAAATAGATTCTAATATGTATTGCAACAGGCAAGGACTGGAAGGAAGAGATGACCTTCAAGGTTTCTCAGATATTCATTTCTCCATTTTTGTTCTGCAGATGAAGAACCAACCCAAATCACCCTATGATGAAAAAAATATGGTTCAGAGCATCTTTGATCTCTTCCTGGGGGGGACAGAGACATCAGGCACCACTCTCCACTGGGGATTGTTATATATGGTGCTTTATCCTGACATTCAAGGTGAGAGAAGCATCATGGGATGGATGAGATAGGACCTTTTTAACCTATCTATGCTACTTGTAGCATCTTCATCTTCATCTGCAATTGACAATTATTATTGAAAGAATTCTTTAGTTAAAGGTAGTCCTCAACTTACAATCATAATGGAGGCTGCTCCTTATGGTCTCAAGTCATGACATTTGTTAAGCGAGGTGCCCATGCAATCGCCTCGTTCAAGGACTCCAATCCCTCCAATCCTCCTTGCGGTTGTTAAATGACTGTCATAGCCAGATCTTGCCAGATCGCAAGAGCGAGATCAACGGCCCCAGGCCTGCCGGAAGAGCCAGGTCTTCACCGCTTTTCGGAAGGCCAATAGGGTGGGGATGGTCCGGACCTCAGGAGGTAACTGGTTCCAGAGAGCCGGGGCAGCCACAGAGAAGGCCCTCCCACACGGGCCCGCCAGCCGGCATTGTTTAGCTGACGGGACCTGGAGGAGACCAACTCTGAGGGATCTTACCAGTCGCTGGGAGCTATGCGGTAGAAGGTGGTCTCGAAGATAACCTGGCCCTGAGCCATGTAGGGCTTTAAAGGTAATAACCAGCACCTTGAATTATGACCGGAGACCAATAGGGAGCCAGTGGAGTGGAGAATTGGTGTAATGTGGGTGTACCTAGGTGTACCTAATAGCGCTCCATGTGCGTTGGCGTATAGTCATGCCAGCCAGATGGCCATGGAAGTGTCTTTGGACAATGCTGGCTTCCTCAGCTAAGAAAGGGAGATGGAGTCAGGAATAACTTGACAGGGGAAAGAATGACAGAATAGCAGAGTTGGAAGGGATCTTGGAGGTTCTCTAGTCCAACCCCCTGCTCAAGCAGGAGATCCTATACTATTTCAGACAAGTGGCTGTCCAATCTCTTCTTAACCCCCTTACTATACTTTTTTTAAAAGCGGGAAGAGCTCCTGAGACAATACATTCTAAGAAAAACTTCTTTGAAGCATGGGAAAGAGGCCCCCAACTGAAAGATAAGCTGACCCTCATGGAAGTTGATTTTTAAAATAAAGCACAAAGGGTTTAGTGCTCTACCAGAGGAGCCCTAAATCCAGATCCCAATGGAGATGCCAGTTGTGTAAAATGTGTGGGCAAATCCAGAGCACATTCTGACAGACTGCTTAATGGGCTGAGCAAGATATGTGTCAAAATTTGTCCTCTTCACAGCCTCACCCTAACCTCAAGGCGAAAGATAGCTGGATGTTTTCCTACTAGAGCATGTCATTTGGTAGGTGGAGAGTGAGAAAGTGCCAGGAGAATTCACTAACCCTTATCTTTAATATGCCCTGAATTTAAGAAGGACATATTCGCTGTCTTGTGTCTGTGATTGGATAAGGACCAGCAATAGCAAATTATATGTTGGTAAAATTTTCTGCTGATTCAAGGGTTGTTGAGAGCTTAGCTGAAGGGAATGGCCTTCGGAATATCATGACTGAGAACTACCGTTTTTTTCGGAGTACAAGACACATCTTTTTCCCCCAAAAAAGAGGGTGAAAATCTGGGTGTGTCTTATACTCCGAAAGTAGCCCCGCCCAGCTTCTCAAACGGAGGTTTCAGAGGCTGAAAACGAGTTTGACACCCCTGGTCTAGATCATTCCCTCCTGCTAGGCTGAGCTTCTGCCATTAATAGACCATGGACAGCTGGGACCACTCCTGGATGTTTATTCAATCCTAGCTCTAGTTAATGTGCAAAATCTTTGTTTCTCCACAGCCAAAGTCCAAAAGGAAATAGATACCCTCCTAACACCGGGCCAGTCGATCTGTTACGAGGATCGCAAGAAACTTCCGTACACAAATGCTGTGATTCACGAAATCCAGCGCTTTAGCAACATCATTTCGATTGGAATGCCCAGATTCTGCTTAAGAGACACAAAGATCCAGAAGTTTCACATTAAAAAGGTAATCGAATCCCTCTGATCTGAAGCCTTCTTTTCTTCTCCTCCCCCTATTGCTAGAACGAAGCACATGCAATAAAGGGAGTCGCTGGTTAACGATGGTAATTGGACCGAGGACTCTGTTGTTAAGCACAACGTCATGGGACTGCATCCACTTACAGTGGCGGTTCTGGCAATTCCTGTTACGCTCATTAGGTGAATTCTATGCAGTCGTTAGGTGCAATGTCACATGATTGACATTTGTGAACTCCTGTCAACTTTCCTACTGATTTTGCTTGTCAGAAGCCGGCAGTGAAGGTTGCAAACGGCAGGACATTGCAACCGCCGTAATTGTAAGCCAGTTGCCAAACACATGAATCACGATTAGTCATTCCCCTGATTCTAAGTATCGCGAAATTTCTCCTTAGTTCTAGGTTGTTTCTCTCCTTGATTTCCATCCATTGTTTCTTTCTTTATTATTATTTATTTATTATTTGGACTTACTATGCCGCCCTTTCTCCAAAAGGACTCAGGGCGGCTCACAACAAGAGCCTTGGTAGTACAGTGGTTTAAGGCACCCTGTTATTAAGCTGGTTATTAAGACCAGCTGCCTGCAATTACTGCAGGTTCGAATCTCGCCAAGGCTCAAGGTTGACTCAGCCTTCCATCCTTTCTAAGGTAGGTAAATTGAGGACCCAGTTTGTGGGGGCAATTTATTTATTTATTTATTTATTTATTGCGATTTATATGCCGCCTTTCTCCCTAGGGACTCAAGGCGGCTTACAAAATGACAACATCAATACAAATCACAATACAATACCAAATTAAAATCAGTAACCCAATTAAAAAACGATTTAAAATTATACCAGTGTACCCCGAAACGGATCAGTTTAATAAGCTGACTTTGTATAAATATACAAAAGAATGAAGGCTATTGCTTAGCGTATTGTAAGCTGCCCTGAGTCTCCGGAGAAGGGTGGCATATAAATCAAAATTAAAAACAAAACAAAAAAAACAATAAAACACATACAGTCCAATCCTTCCTTTAAAAATACCCAATAAAACTATAAGACTATAAAAACCATTGAAATCCCCTCTAAAACCCTTTCAGTCCAAGCTGGCCAGGCGAAATAGCCATGTTTTAAGGCCACGGCGGAAAGAGCAAAGGTCAGGGGCCACCCGGAACCCCAGGGGCAGCTGATTCTACAGGGTAGGTGCCCCCACCTGCTTTCAGGGGTTTTGGAGGATAGATGGACCCCCTCTTCTCTGTGGCAGCCCCTCAAATATTGGAAGACTGCTATCATGTCTCCCCTGGTCCTTCTTTTCATTAAACTAGACATATCCAGTTCCTGCAACCGCTTGTCATGTTTTAACTTCCAGTCCCCTAACATCTTTCTAGAGTCTCAACACGCTGTAAAAAATCAACAATGATTTTTTATATCGTGGTGACCAAAACTGGATGAATAGATTGATCCCCTCTTCTTTGTGGCAGCCCCTCAAACATTAGGATATGGTTATCATGTCACCCCTGGTCCTTCTTTCCGTTAAACTAGACAAACCCAATTCCCGCAACCGTTCTTCGTATGTTTTATCCTCCAGCCCCTAATCATCTTTGTTGCTCTTCTCTGTTGTCTTTCTAGTCTCAGCATCTTTTTTATATTGTGGCGACCAAAACTGGATGCAGTATTCCAAGTGTGACCTTACCAAGGCCTTATAAAGTGGTATTACTGTAACACTTCACGTGATCTTGATTTTATCCCTCTGTTTATGATGCCTAGGATGGATGGAACTGACTGTGGGAAGTGTAATGGTTGAGACTTTGAGGATCAGCCATTATGTTTTGTCCCCGTCCCACATACGCACCCCCACAGACGGCCTGGAGTTAATAAGCCACATGACAAAGTCTTTGAAGATAAAACTGGCAGCAACCCAGTGGCTAGCTGCCAATTCAGGCTTTACTCACACAAAACAAAGATTAGACTGCAAGCATTCTGATAAAGCAGGCAAAGTTTCAGCAATACAAGGATTAGTCCAAATGCAGTCCGACAAGGCAGGCAGAAGTCCAGTAACGCAGAGATCATGGATTATTTCTAGTTTTTGCTTGTCACAAACTGAACCAGCCACCACACCCACATTTATACCCTGTGGGGTGTGGTCCAGTGACTCAGATAATCTCTGCACACCTTCCCCTCTGCTGTGCACGCTTCTCCCTGTGCCGCTGTCGAGGATCCAGCCAGCACTTATCTCCTTCGTCGCTGTCCACCTGTGGCTGCGGGGACATGCTTGGGTCTGGGCCTATCTCTTGGCCTTCGGTGTCCTCCGGAGGCATTGCCAGAGAGGAGGGTCCTGGAGAGGGAGGACTTGCCAACTCTTCTCTCTCACTCTCAGAGTCTGCATCTGTCGATAGCCCAGGCTCAGGCAACGGAGCCACAACACATCAGTCCTTGTTTCAGCACTGTTGTAACTTTAAGCAGTTGCTGAACATATGGTCGTTAACAGAGGACTACCTGTGTTTGTATATATTCATAACCACAGCTGTTCTCCAGAAATGTTGGACTTCAATATGTTCAAAAAAGCTGCAGCACTTCAAGAGAGGTCAAGCACATGGGGGAAAGAAAGCAGCAATAATTTATTGGCCTTTGTTTCATACCTACAAGGTCATGAGCAAAGCTATTCCCAAACATCTACTGTAATATTAGGAATAATTATCACCGTTCATTTGTTTTGCGGCTGTTTCCTGACACGTCTTTTCCCTGCTGAAGGGCAGAGAAAATGAGAACAAGATGTACTCGATGTGCCCAAAATTCAAAGGGGGAGATTGTGTTGTGAGATTGCGACCCATATTTTGTACTCCTTGGGGTTAGCTATGAAGTGCATCTGTTTCCAATGACCGTCCTTCACTCTGATTTGGCATGTTAGGTCCTCATCAATCTTTGTCTGAAACTAAGGTTATTCTTTGTTAATGCTGAAGCGCAAACATTGAAAATACACAAAGTCCTTTCTTGATTTGCGCACACAAAATGGACGTTTGATCTCTTTTGAGTGGAGTTCAGCTGCTGTCACTTCATAGAGACCTGTATATCATTTTTATGGCAACAAATCAGAAATGGTTCCGCTTTGCTTTCTCCCAGGAGGAATTCTTTTTCATCTGCCCAGCCTAACGTTGACCTCAGATGTCCCAAAGGTGCTTTTTCAAAAGGCAGGTGGACTTTCTCGGGTTTCCTTGAAGATGTTTCACTTCTCATCGAAGAAGCTTCTTCAGCTCTGGTTGGACGGTGGGGAAGTCAGAGCTGAAGAAGCTTCTTTGATGAGACGCAAAATACCTTCAAGCAAAAGCATAGAAAGTCCAGTTGCCTTTTGAAAAAGCATTTTGGGGACAATCATAACCAGGATGACTGAGAATCTCCACAGACGTTGAGCTCAGATAGATTTCCTGATGGTTTCTCATCCATCGTCCCAACCTGCTTAATTTTTTTTAGATCAGCCAAATTCAGCTTCAAAAATTAGGTTCATTAGAATAGGATTTTTTTTGTTTAAAAAAATAATAATGACTGTTGTTTAACCTAAAGCAGTATGCAGCAGCTGCCAAAAAAGCCAACACAGTTCTAGGCTGCATCAACAGAGGGATAGAATCAAGATCACGTGAAGTGTTAGTACCACTTTATAAGGACTTGGTCAGGCCACACCTGGAATATTGCATTCAGTTTTGCTCACCACGATGTAAATAAGATGTGGAGACTCTAGAAAGAGTGCAGAGAAGAGCAACGAAGATGATTAGGGGACTGGAGAGGGTAAAATATATGAAGAACGGTTGCTGGAATTGGGTATGTCTAGTTTAATGAAAAGAAGGACTAGGGGAGACATGATAGCAGTGTTCCAATATCTCAGGGGCTGCCATAAAGAAGAGAGAGTCAAGCTATTCTCCAAAGCACCTGAGGGCAGGACAAGAAGCAATGGGTGGAAACTAATCAAGGAGAGAAGCAACCTAGAACTAAGGAGAAATTTCCTGACAGTCAGAACAATTAATAAGTGGAACAACTTGCCTCTAGAAGTTGTGAATGCTCCAACACTGGAAGTTTTTAAGAAGATGTTGAGTAACCATTTGTCCGAAGTGATGTAGGGTTTCCTGCCTGAGCAGGGGGTTGGACTAGAAGACCTCTGAGGTCCCTTCCAACTCTGTTATTCTAAATTCTAAGCCTATTTGTATTTTTTAGAAGAGTGTTCTTTAAAGACATGTATCGATGATGAAATTTCCTTGGGATTTCTCACTTCAGCCTCGTTGCCAGCAGATATAACCATTTTTTTTCTTCCCTCAGAGTGAAAGGCAAAACTTAAGTCCTCCTTCTCTTTTTGACAGGGTACCACCTTTTTCCCGAACATGGCGTCGGCCTTGCATGATCCCAACGAATGGGAGGCACCCCTCACCTTCGACCCAAACCATTTCCTTGACAAAGACGGGAATTTCACCTGCCCAGAAGCTTTCATCCCATTTTCTATGGGTGCTCGTTCAACTTGCTAACATTTTCATAGATTCTTTAATGAGATGCATTAGAGCCCCAGTGGCACAGTGGTTAGAATGCAGTACTGCAGGCTAATTCTGCTGACTGCCGACTGCCAGCAGTTCGGCAGTTCGATCCTAACCGGCTCGAGGTTGACTCTGCCTTCCGTCCTTCCGAGGTCGGTAAAATGAGGACCCAGATTGTTGGGGGCAATAGGCTGACTCTATAAACTGTTTAGAGAGGGCTGTAAAGCACTGTAAAGTGATATATAAGTTTTAAGTGGTATTGCTATTGACTATTCCTGTTTCACTTCTATAAACATGTATTTAGTGATGGACACACCTTCTGATTTTGGGGAGCTTGAAAGATAGAGCTACTGTCAACATTCCTCATTGAATATAGTAATCTGTACCAAGAGTGTTTTAAATCAGAAAAAAGCACTTTGTGGTGGATTGTTAACAGGGATGTCTGTAGATTGTGGTTAAAAAAAAAATATGATGGCAGCCATGATGATGCAATCCAAATGCTACCTAGTTTTCATATTCTACAATCGTACAGCTGTGGCCACCAACATAGTTGCCCATCCCTTTTGCAACCTGTGTACTTCAACTCCCGGAATTCCTGAGACAGCTGTGAGGAATTTCAATTCCCAGAATTTCTGAGACAGCCATGAGGGACTTCAACTCCCAGAATTCCTGAGACAGCCGTGAGGGATTTCAACTCCCAGAATTCCTGAGACAGCCGTGAGGGACTTCAACTCCCAGAATTCCTGAGAGACAGCCGTGAGGGATTTCAACTCCCAGAATTCCTGAGACAGCCGTGAGGGACTTCAACTCCCAGAATTCCTGAGACAGCCGTGAGGGATTTCAACTCCCAGAGTTCCTGAGACAGCCGTGAGGGACTTCAACTCCCAGAATTCCTGAGACAGCCATGAGGGATTTCAACTCCCAGAGTTCCTGAGACAGCCGTGAGGGATTTCAATTCCCAGAATTTCTGAGACAGCCATGAGGGACTTCAACTCTCAGAATTCCTGAGACAGCCGTGAGGGATTTCAACTCCCAGAATTCCTGAGACAGCCGTGAGGGACTTCAACTCCCAGAATTCCTGAGACAGCCTTGAGGGATTTCAACTCCCAGAATTCCTGAGACAGCCGTGAGGGACTTCAACTCCCAGAATTCCTGAGACAGCCGTGAGGGATTTCAACTCCCAGAGTTCCTGAGACAGCCGTGAGGGACTTTAACTCCCAGAATTCCTGAGACAGCCGTGAGGGATTTCAACTCCCAGAGTTCCTGAGACAGCCGTGAGGGATTTCAACTCCCAGAATTCCTGAGACAGCCGTGAGGGATTTCAACTCCCAGAATTCCTGAGACAGCCGTGAGGGATTTCAACTCTCAGAATTCCTGAGACAGCCGTGAGGAATTTCAACTCCCAGAATTCCTGAGACAGCCGTGAGGGACTTCAACTCCCAGAATTCCTGAGACAGCCGTGAGGGATTTCAACTCCCAGAATTCCTGAGACAGCCGTGAGGGACTTCAACTCCCAGAATTCCTGAGACAGCCGTGAGGGATTTCAACTCCCAGAATTCCTGAGACAGTCGTGAGGGATTTCAACTCCCAGAATTCCTGAGATAATCGTGAGGGACTTCAACTCTCAGAATTCCTGAGACAGCCGTGAGGGATTTCTGGGAGTGGAAGCCCAGAAGTTGTAAAGGGGCCTTGTTCTCCACTTCTTTCCTAATCAATCACTGCCAGCACTGATTTGTTGTTTTCCTCTCCATTCCTAGGTCATCGAGCATGTTTGGGAGATAATTTGGCAAAGACAGAGCTCTTCCTGTTCTTTAGCAACCTTGTGCAAACGTTCAACTTCCACTTGGCCGACGGATCAAAAGATATAAAACTTGACCCGATCTGGGGAGGCACTCTGAAGCCTCATTCCTTTGACATCTGTGCAATTCCTCGAGAGGCCCATATATCAGGCCTGAATGGCAGATGTGGATACTGGGATTGGGAATCCAAGCAGCTGGGTTTGCCTCCTCCAACTTTTGCCTGAAAAGAAAGCAAGTCTTGAGCCCTCCTTGTTGTGGGAGAAAAATATATGCAACCTGGTCTCGTTCTGCAACATGGGTGTCAGCCCCAGCCCTGCGACGGTACTTGGGGCCGCCATTCATGTGGGGATCGCCGTTCTTCTGCTGCACACTTTCGCCGACGACCCTTCCTCTGTGCCTGCTCTGCTGGATCATCAGCCCCGAGGCATGCCTCTCCCTTTGACTTCCCAGCCCACGCTAGATGATGTCAGGGTCCTGCACTGAAGCAGTTTATCACCATCTCTCACTTTAAGGAAAGACGGAGCAGCGTGGAACAACTGAAGCGGCTTATGATGGATTGGGGAGGGAGAGGGGGGATACGGGGTAATTGGATAATTGAGTGATTGCACTGGGGTGGAGCTGTATGATGATTAAAAGGTGATGGGGAGCATGGAGCGTCAGCTCCAACGAAGATTCCTTCCTGTAACACTTTAAGGTGGTCAGTTAATACCGATATCAGGATAAACAAACTTGGTTACTGCTTTTGCATGCTGAGTTTTTTCCTAGACTTTTGGAACCTGACAATGGGCTTTTGAATACAGCCAGGCTGGCAACATTAATATTGGGTCGTTCTCTATGTTCTTGTCATTTATCTAGTTCCACTTGCTCCCATCTAACTGAGCCTCTAATCCAGGGGTGTCAAACTCGATTTCATTGAGGGCCATATCAGGGTTGTGTTTGACCTCGGAGGGCTGGAATTTGTGTGGCCACGGTGGGCATGTCAGGGGCGCCTATAGTGGCCAACTGCTAAGGCAGGACTCCCCTCAGACCCACCCTCACTCTCATTATAATCCCCTTCCTTTCTTCCTTCCTTCCTTCCTTCCTTCCTTCCTTCCTTCCTTCCTTCCTTCCTTCTCCTCTTTTTCCTTCCCTCTTCAATTCAGCTCCAGTCCAGGAGCCCTCAAGCAGTCGCATTCACGACAAACCATTTTATACCAAATTTATATTTTGCTGATATCAGTGAAATGAGGAAAGCTAAAGATTTAAAAATAATATAAACAGTATATTTGCAGTAATCTCCCAGATGAATCTTCCCAAAAAAGGAATGCTAATTATTGCTCTCTTCTAGGAGAGATTCTTTTTTCCTCCAATTTGAATTTTTGCTTTTTTTTTCATGATCCTTTGGACTTACGAGAGGGATCACCTCAATGGAATTACATCTACATAGAGTTAAATTTAAATTTACCGACAAAGAAATAAAGGGAAACTAGTATAGCTATTTCAAGCTGTTTAGCTCTCATCAGCTAGCCATACCCTTCTGGGATTCGAATCTACATAGAGGGAAGTAAGTAGTGTGGGGTACCCCAAAGTTCTGTTTTAGGCCCAGTACTCTTCAATATAAATGATTTAGATGAGGGAACAGAAGCGGAACTCACTAGATTTGTAGATGACACTAAACTGGCAGGAATAGCCAACACCCCAGAAGATAGGCTCAAAATCCAGATGGATCTTGACAGACTTGAACACTGGGCCCTCTCTAACAAAATGAAATTCAATGTAGAGAAAAATAAGATTTTACACTTAAGCAAGAAAAATCAAATGTACAGATACAGATTAGGGTGAAACCTGACTCAATAGCAGTAACTGTGAGAGGGATCTTGGAGTTGAAATAATTTTAATAATAATTTTCTTGAAAAACTATGGGCTGTCCCCAGTAGTGGGTTTCAATTTCAGCCGCTACTGGTTTGCTCATGAGCGCAACTCTTCCGCACATGCACAGAAGCTTCTGCACATGCACAGAGATGTTCGGGTGGATGGGCGGAGCCTCCCGCCGCCGCCGCTACCAGTTCGCCTGATCCGGGGCGAACTGGTAGCAACCCACCACCGGCTGTCCCCTTACACTGCTGGACAAAATCGCCAGGACTCGCTGGCCTGGGGTGGGTTCTACTTACCTTTACTACCGGTTTGCAACGGGATCACGCATGCGCAGATCGCTGATGACGACATCCAGGGCGGTGGGCGGGACCTCCCGCCAGTTTTACTATTGGTACTTGCGAACCGGTCTGAACTGGGGGCAACCCATCACTGTTGCTGCCTCAACAGAGTGAGGAAAATCCTCAGGGGTGATTCGCACCCAGGTCAGCACTTCTTTACTCCCCTACCATCCAGCAGGAGATACAGAAGCATAACCAGCTGAACAAACAGGCTGAAAAATAGCTTTTATTCGTAGGCTGTCAGACTTCTGAACACAACATAACACCGCAATCAGGTTTAATATGATAAACTCACAGGGCCACTAGCAACGCGCAACATATTCATACCGATGTAATATAATATAATATAATGTTACATACATATAGGTATATGGGAACGTGTGTTAGTTATTACTTATTTGGGTTTAGGGATTCTATTTCTTTCATTTATTGAGTTATTGAGATGTATTTTGGGTTTCCGGCAGAGGAGAGGGGCTGCACCAAGGGAGGCTCATTCAATTTCATTGTACACATGTTGTGCATTGACAATAAAGGTTTGATTTGATTTGAGTCCTAGCAGACAATCACTTAAATATCAGCCAGCAGTCCCAAAGGTGCTTTTTTTCAAGAGGCAACTGGACTTTCTGGTTTTTCTTTGAAGACATTTCGCTTCTCATCCAAGAAGCTTCTTTAGCTCTGACCGGATGGTGGGGAATGGAAGGATTTATACTCCTTGCAGGCAGCTGGTCAAAGACACCATCTATGTCAAAATTGAACAGCCTCAACAGAAGGGGAGAGATACGACATCATCTATCTCCAGTCTACAACACGGTCCTTTCAGCAGTTCCAAGAAGGCTGAATTATGGGTGGGTTCTAAATTTTTTTACTACCGGTTCTGTGGGTGTGGCTTATTTTGTGGGCATGGCTTGATGGTCATGTGATAATTCTTTAGGATTTAGCAGAGGTACTGGTCTACCAGGCTTTTAACTGCTTGCAGAGCTGTACTGATCTACCCATTTATTTTTGCAGGCACTGGTTTACCCATTTATTTTTGCAGGCACTGGTCTACCCATTTATTTTTGCAGGCACCAGTCTACTCATGTATTTTTGCAGGCATGGGTCTACCCATTTAGTTTTGCAGGCACTGGTCTACCCATTTAGTTTTGCAGGCACTGGTTTACCCATTTATTTTTGCAGGCACCGGTCTACTCATGTATTTTTGCAGGCACTGGTCTACTCATGTATTTTTGCAGGCACCGGTCTACTCATGTATTTTTACAGGCATGGGTCTACCCATTTAGTTTTGCAGGCACTGGTCTACCCATTTAGTTTTGCAGGCACTGGTCTACCCATTGATTTTTGCAGGCACTGGTCTACCCATTGATTTTTGCAGGCACTGGTCTACCCATTGATTTTTGCAGGCACTGGTTTACCCATTTATTTTTGCAGGCACCGGTCTACTCATGTATTTTTGCAGGCACTGGTCTACTCATGTATTTTTGCAGGCACTGGTCTACTCATGTATTTTTGCAGACACTGGTCTACTCATGTATTTTTGCAGGCATCGGTCTACTCATGTATTTTTGCAGGCACGGTCTACTCATGTATTTTTGCAGGCACGGTCTACTCATGTATTTTTGCAGGCATGGGTCTACCCATTTAGTTTTGCAGGCACTGGTCTACCCATTTAGTTTTGCAGGCACTGGTCTACCCATTGATTTTTGCAGGCACTGGTTTACCCATTTATTTTTGCAGGCACCGGTCTACTCATGTATTTTTGCAGGCACTGGTCTACTCATGTATTTTTGCAGGCACTGGTCTACTCATGTATTTTTGCAGACACTGGTCTACTCATGTATTTTTGCAGGCATCGGTCTACTCATGTATTTTTGCAGGCACTGGTCTACCACCAAACTGCCTTTTACCACTGATCAGCTGTAGGGCGGCCCTTTGAAGCCCCGCGGCAAGAGTTTAAACAGTTTTTTTCCCTCTAGTCATCAGCTGGGACTCAGGAGGCAGCAATAGATTGGGAGTGGGGCCAAATAAAAGGTAAGAATAACACGGGGGGGGCGGGGGGGCGGGGGGAGGCAGAACCGGTTCGGTGACGTCATATCGTCACTGCTACCACCTTGGCGGAACTGGGAGGAATCAACCCTGAGTACATAGATCAACCTCCAAGTGGCCTCAAGGACTCTCTAAAAGGAATGCAAATGACCAGCTGTCTGCAAGGAGAATAAATCCTTCCATTCCCCACCATCCGGTCAGAGCTGAAGAAGCTTCTTGGATGAGAAGTGAAACATCTTCAAGGAAAAACCAGAAAGTCCAGTTGCCTCTTGGAAAAAATCATCTTTGGGACAACCACGACCTGGATGTTACAGACATGAGCTAGCAGTGTGCGGCGGCAGCCAAAAAGGCCAATGCAATCCTAGGTTGCATTAACAAAGGCATAGAATCAAGATCACATGAAGTATTAGTACTGCATTATAAAGCCTTAATAAAACCATACTTTTTTTTTTGCTTTAATTTATATGCTGCCCTTCTCCGGAGACTCAGGGCAGCTTACAATGCGTTAAGCAATAGCCTTCATACTTTTGTATATTTTATACAAAGTCAGCTTATTGCCCCCACAAACTGGGTCCTCAATTTACCTACCTTAGAAAGGATGGAAGGCTGAGTCAACCTTGAGCCTGGTGAGATTCGAACCTGCAGTAATTGCAAGCAGCAGATGTTAATTACAGTGCTTTAGTCCACTGTGCTACCAAGGCTCTTAAAATACTGCATCACACTTAGAAAACTGCATCCCAGTTTTGGTCACCGTAGGATAAAAAAAGATGCAGAGCCTCTGGAAAGAGTGCAAAAAAGATGATTAGAGGACTGGAGGCTAAAACATATGAAGAATGATTCCAGGAATTGGGTTTGTCTAGTCTAGGGAAGAGAAGGACCAGGGGTGACATGATAGCAGTCTTCCAATATTTGAGGGGCTGCCACAAAGAAGAGGGAGTCAAGCTATTCTCCAAAGCACCTGAAGGCAAGACAAGAAGCAATGGATGTGTAAGGTTCAAAAATGGATATCTACGAGATATCCATTTCTAGACCTGGATATCTACAAGACCGCCTTCTGCCGTTGAGAGCCTCCCACCGGCCAGTACGCTCCCACAGAGAGGGGAAACAATGTCGACTGGCGGCCCCCAGGGGGAGAGCTTTCTCTGTGGGAGCACCTGCCCTCTGGAACGAGCTCCCCCCAGAGATACGGACGATTCCGGATCTACGTACTTTCCGTCGGGCCCTCAAAACTTTTTTATTTCATCAAGCCGGGCTGGCCTAACTCTCCAATGGTGTAATTTAAATTTAAATTTTAAATGGGGGATTTTAACTGTCGGGCCAAATTGTTTAATATATTTTAAATTGTTTTTAAATTTTGTATTCTATGTTTTTTTACCTATGGCTGTTCACCGCCCTGAGTCCTTCGGGAGAAGGGCGGTGTATAAATTTAAATATTAAATTATATTAAATTAAAAATGCACTTGAGTCACCAGAATGCCTAAGAAAGAGAGAGAGAGAGACTCAGGAAGAGGCTTGGAAAATAACAGCTTTTATTTGTACAAAGAAAGAGCTGGGGGACTTATTCCACAACATACAGAGAATAACCATGCAAGGAAAAAGCCACACCCGAGAAAAGTGTGACCCCAACATCTTATATCCACAGGTAGCCAATCAGAGACAAATGTTTGTTACCTAGCATGGGCAATATCTTGCTTATGCCTCCCTTATCCGTGGAGCATCCTTCGTCCATGTCCTGTCCATGCTTTCATTATCTTACAGAGCATCCCTTGTAGCCGTGTGTGTTTGCGCTCCTGGGCAGTCCCTGTTATTTATTTATTTATTGGTTCGATTTATATGCCGCCCTTCTCTGGAGACTCAGGGCGGCTTACAATGCGTTAAGCAATATTTATTTTATTTATTTATTTTATTAAATTTATATGCCGCCCTTCTCCCGTAGGACTCGGGGCGGCGCACAGAATAAAAACATGTAACAATAAGAAATCCTAAAAACAGCCAATATAAAACCCCAAACGGAATAAAATCTCGTAGCAAATGAGGGAAATTGCTGAAACAGCCATGTCTTCAGGTCGGTGTGGAAAGTGCGTAGGTCAGGGGCCGTCTGGAGCCCGATGGGAAACCCATTCCAGAGGGTCGGTGCGGCCACCGAGAACGCCCTCATCCTGGGGGCCACCAGCCGACCTTGTTTGGCCGATGGCACCCAGAGGAGGGCAGCCCTATGTGACCGGACTAGTGACATACTAGCCTTCATACTTTTGTATATACCTGCTTAGTAGGTCTTCCCCCCCCACAAGCGGTGTTCTTTTTTTTAATACAAAGTCAGCTTATTGCCCCCACAATCTGGGTCCTCATTTTACCTACCTCGGAAGGATGGAAGGCTGAGTCAACCTTGAGCCTGGTGAGATTTGAACTTGCAGTAATTTCAGGCAGCTGGTGCTATTTAACAGCACTTTAGTCTGCTGCGTCACCAAGGCGCAGGTTATCTATGGAGCAGGATGTTCCTGGGTAACTGTTTTGTTCTATCTTTCTTATTTACTCACCAAGGACGTTCCTAGTCTTTGAAGCGAACAACAGAAACGAGAAAGCGGATAGCAAAGGTTACGATTCTTGCTAAGCGAGGGTTACAGAATTAATTCCAAATAAATAATTCCAAAACAGCACAAGCAATTCTTAACAGAAGCAAATAGCAAAGGTTAGATTGATTCCTGTCACTATGTCCCTTTCAGATGGAAACTAATCAAGAAGAGAAGCAACCAGAACTAAAGAAAAATTTCCTAACCGTGAGAACAATTAACCGGTGGAATAGCTTGCCTTCAGAAGTTGTGGGTGCTACATAATTGGAAATTTTAAAGAAGAGACTGGACAGCCCCTTGTCTGGAATGGTATAGGGTCTCCTGCTTGAGCAGGGGGTTGGACTAGAAGACCTCCAAGGTCCCTTCCAACTCTGTTATTCTGTCCTATCTTGTTTATTTAAATCCATTTTCATTTTTCATTTCATTTTATTAGATTTATATACCGCCCTACTCCCGAAGGACTCAGGGCGGTGAACAGCCAGAAAAATAAAACACAAAAACTACAAAATTTAAAAGACAATATAAAAACCCATTAAATAATTTGGCCCAAAACAATTTAAAACACCCCTAATGTTTTAAAACCAATTTTAAAAATTACAATTAAAAGGGAAGTTAGGCCAGGCCAGCCTGTTGAAATAAATAGGTCTTGAGGGCACGGCGGAAGGTGTGTAAATCCGGGATCCTTCGTATCTCCGGGGGGAGCTCATTCCAGATAGCAGGTGATCCCACAGCGAAGGCTCTCCCCCTGGGGGCTGCCAGTCGACACTGTTTGGCCAATGGCACTCTGAGGAGCCCCTCTCTATGTGAGTGTACTGGCCGGTGAGAGGCTACTGGTGGCAGAAGGCGGTCCCGTAAGTACCCTGCTCCTAAGCCATGGAGCGCTCTACAGGTGGTGACCAAAACCTTGAAGCGCACCTGGAAGACCACTGGGAGCCAGTGCAGCTCGCGCAGGAGGGGGGGTCACATGGGAACGCCACGTTGCTCCCATAACCACCCGCGCGGCCACACTCTGAACCAGCTGGAGCCTCCGGGTGCTCCTCAAGGGGAGCCCCATGTAGAGAGTGTTACAATAGTCCAGGCGGGAAGTGACGAGGGCATGAGTGACCGTGCGTAAGGAGTCCCGATCCAGAAAGCGAAGCAACTGGCGTATCAGGCGGACCTGATAGAAAGTCCTCCCGGCCACAGCCGTCAAGTGCTCTTCTAAAGACAGCCGTGAATCCAGGAGGACGCCCAAGTTGCGAGCCCTCTCCGTGGGGGCCAATGATTCGCCCCCAATAGTCAGTGATGGCGTCAACTGACTATATCGGGACGTCGGAAACCACAGCCACTCAGTCTTGGATGGGTTGAGCCTGAGTCTGTTTCTCCCCATCCAGATCCGCACGGCCTCCAGGCACCGGGACATCACTTCAAGGGCATCATTGGGGTGGTCCAGGGTGGAGATGAACAGCTGAGTGTCATCAGCATACTGGTGGTACTTCACCCCAAAACCACGAATGATCTCGCCCAGTGGCTTCACATAAATGTTGAACAGAAGGGGCGAAAGGACCAACCCCTGTGGCACCCCACATATAAGGCACCTCGGGGTCGACCTCTGCCCCCCTGCCAACACTGACTGCGACCGGTCAGAGAGAAAGGAAGAGAACCACCACAGCACCGTGCCCCCCACCCCCAACTCTTCCAACCGGTGCAGCCTGATACCATGGTCGATGGTATCAAAAGCCGCTGAGAGATCTAATAGGACCAGGACAGAGGAACAACCCCTGTCCCGAGCCCTCCAGAGATTATCAACCAACGCGACCAATGCCGTTTCCGTGCTGTACCCGGGCCTGAAGCCCGACTGGAATGGATCCAGATAAACCGTTAAATCCAAATTTGAGAGCCTCCTGATGTAATATCCACATCTACCACTAGATGTCACAACATGCTGCTTTTTAAACCTTTTAAAAGTTTTAACTTTTCTAAAACTTTGTGGACAGGCCCTTTTTCAAATTCTCCTTTACGCAGGCTTTGATGCAGCAGTTGGCAATTAAGAAGCTTCTGCTAGGCTTAATGAATGCCTCCTCCCTTCAACCTTCTCCCATCATCTCAGAAATGTGCAGGAATCCTGTAAATACATGCAAAATCTTTATATATATATATATATATATATAGAATAGAGTAGAGTAGAGTAGAGTAGAGTAGAGTAGAGTAGAGTAGAGTAGAACAGAACAGAACAGAACAGAACAGAACAGAACAGAACAGAACAGAACAGAACAGAATAGAATTCTTTATTGGCCAAATTTGATTGGACACACAAGGAATTTGTCTTTGGTGCATATGCTCTCAGTGTACATAAAAGAAAAGATATATTCATCACGAATCATAAGGTACAACACTTAATGATAGTCATAGGATACAAATAAGCAATCAAATCATACTGGGAAACAATCAATATAAATCATAAGGATACAGCAACAAGTTACCGTCATACAGTCATAAGTGGGAGGAGATGGGTGATAGGAACGATGAGAAGTTTAATAGTAATAGTAATGCAGACTTAGTAAATAGTTTGACAGTGTTGAGGGAATTATTTGTTTAGCAGAGTGATGGCATTCGGGAAAAAACTGTCCTTGTGCCTAGTTGTTCTGGTGTTCTGGGACAGATATCGATATTAACTGACCACCTTAAAGTGTTACAGAAAGAAATCTTTGTTGGAGCTGATGCTCCGTGCTCCCCATCACCTTTTAATCATCATACAGCTCCACCCCAGTGCAATCACTCAATTATCCAATTACCCCGTATCCTCCCTCTCCCTCCCCAATTCCATCACAAGCCGCTTCAGTTGTTCTGCGCTGCTCCGTCTTTCCTTAAAGTGACAGATGATGATAAACTGCTTCAGTGCAGGACCTTGACATCATCTAGCATGAGGTTGGGAAGTCGAAGGGAGAGGCATGCCTCGGGGCTGACGACCCAGCAGAGCAGCACACAGGAAGGGTCGTCGGTGAAAGTGAGCCACAGCGGAATAGCGATCCCCACACGAATGGCGGCCCCAGATGATTCTGGGTAGCTGACCACATGGAGTTGAGAGTGAGGGGGTTTTATGCCTTCTCTTGGGCTTGGCAGTTGGACTTCCTGTGCAAGAACATGTATTCTATTGGCTGTTGTCAGATTCCTATGGGGTCATGTAGGGGTCATGGCTGGCTCTATAGGCAAAAAAGGAAATGCAAATCCTAGATGTTTGTCTGAACTAATCTGGTCAACCTCTGGTTTATTATTTATCTGAGCTCCCAGGTTTGAAGTTTCGACTACTCTGTGATGGTGCAATGAAGGAGCTTGTGTTCTGAAAGGGTGTTGGGCAATTCCTATTGTGGCTTAATGGCTTTCCCTCCTGTGTTGGATCTTGGGTGAGGAGGGGCAGCTTCTAATCCTACCATTCTGCCTTTGTTCAGACTTTGCTGCAGGGAGTTTCAAAATATCCTGTCTTGAATGGATTTCTGCCTGAGGTATTTGCTTTGCTGATGAATAGAGCTATCTAGATACTTGTCTTTCTCTTTCAATAAGCTCTTTATCTCTTAAGTGCTGACATCTGTTGTGGGCTATTAAGGAAAGTGGGGCCTGCTTTCTGCCTCTAAAAAAACCATGTTTCTCCATTTCTCCTTTAGGGAAATATAATATTCTGCCTTTTTAAAAAAGTATTTCCCAAAATATTTCATACTTCTGGGGAGAGAGTTCCCACAACTTCAACTCCCAGAATACCCCAGCCAGCAATGGGGAATTCTGGGAACTGAAGTCCACCCATCTTAAAAACGACGAAGGTTGAGAAACACTGCTTTAGGACAGAGAAAGCTTGAGCTAAGAGCAAGTTAAGGCAAAACGTTCCACGAAAGGAAAGGGAATGGCCGAGAAATCATTATAAAAGCCACATCAGTGATATCTTCGCCCTATATTCATTTAAATCTAATTTAGGATGACCGGCAACGAGGAACGGCACAGAGTTTAAAAGGTTGAGGATGTAAGGTGATTCCTACTAGCGGTTCCTGATTGAGTTCTTTCACTCCTTCGGGTAGCTGCCATTTGAAGCTTCTCAGCAGGTTGGTAAACAAAAGGAAAGCCTCTATTCTCGCTAAGTTTTCCCCTACACAGACCCGAGCTCCTGCAAAGGAAATATTAGAAAAAAACAAGAAAGGGAAGAATTATACCCATCCCTGAGAGAGCAGTCTTGACATCGATCAAGGGCAAAGATACTGAAGACTAAAATAAATAAATCAATCCAAGATGGACCTGAAGGGAGGGAGCCAAGAATTGCTTTGTGCATTTCACATTTTGGGGGGGGGTCTCGAGATTTTCTTTTCCTGTGCCAATTTTCCTACACTGTGAATCAGCTTCAATTTCTGTGGGAAGAAATATCCATCTGGTTCAGTTCCAAGCCGAGAGAAAGACCCTGGAAATATGCAGCCTGATTGGAAAGATGGTTTAATGGTGAAGCGGAACCACATGTGATTCTGTGCAGTTGACCACATGGAGTCGAGAGTGGGTTGTTGGTGGTTTATACCTTCTATTGGGCTTTGCACTTGAGCTTCCTGTTCCTGTGCAAGAACATGTATTCTATTGGCTGATGTAGGGGTTATGTAGGGGTCATAGCAGTGGTGGGATTCAGCTGGTTCGGGCCAGTTTGGGTAAACCGGTAGTTAAATTGCTGGTTGGCCCCACCCTTCCCCTTCTAGGAGTCCCCAAGCACCCCATTTTGGCTCCCAGATAAGTGCAGGGAGGCCTACTAGGCCCAAAATGGGGCACGGGGGTGCAGTGCCCCCCCCCACAGCCCATTTTCGCTCCCAGGAGGCTGCAGCGAGGTCTACTAGGCCCAAAATGGAGTCCAAGGGTGTGGCGCGCCCACCCGTGGCCCGTCTTTTTTTCCCAGGAGGCTGCAGGGAGGCCCACTAGGCCCAAAACGGGGCATGGGGGAGGAGCGTCTCCCCCGGGCCATTTTTGCTCCCAGGGGGGTGCAGGAGGCCGGGTGCTCCTGCACCCCCATGCCCCATTTTGGGCCTAGTAGGCCTCCCTGCACTTATCTGGGAGGCCCAATCAAGGATGTCCCACTCCTTTCTTCTCAATCCTCTTTCTAACCACCAGGAAAACGATTGAGAGTTTACCTGCTCCATATGGCAGAAATTCTTCTCTCTTCATAAAATTTCCCTCTTTGTCCAAAAAATGATCTGGATTGAATTCTTCGGGACTCTCCCATTGCTTGGGATCCAGAAGAACCGAATGGAAATCTGCGATAATTAAAGTTTCCTGAAGGGAAGACAATTGACAAGGTTTGAGCCAACTCAGTTTTAGCCTTTGACTACCGTTACACTCATCTTAAGCCAGGGGTCGGCAACCCGTGGCTCTGGAGCCACATGCGGCTCTTTCATCCCTCAGCTGCAGCTCCAGAACCAAACCTTGTACCATTACAGTCATTTTAGGCAACAATCCAGCACAGCTTCTCTGAATTTGGTGGGGCTAGTTCAGGGGTGAAATGCTCCCGGTTCGGATCGGAAGGTCTTTGGGCTGATATCACTTTAAGATCCTGTAATAAGAAGAGGCCCTGTTGGGGCATATCACTCTCTCCGTGTATGCTTCCGTGCTGTAATTGCTGATTGCTGTTTGTTTGAGGTCTGACTAAAGTACGTATATGTATATATTCTTTGTAGATAAAACCACGATTTAAATACAAACCTCTGTTTACTGTATTTGCTCCTGGGTTGTCTCACATAGTCACACTGTGCACAGTCTGCGCACTCTGACTAGATGGAGTGTGGGGCAGATGTGGGATTGAGCCTTAGGAGAAATAATTTTGGAAATTAAACTAGATAAGGGATAGTGATGGTGAACCTATGACACACGTGTTAAAGGGGATACATCACAATATTTTGGGAGACATTGCGGTTCACCCAAACTCAACAACAACTACAGGTAATATAATCCTTCCATTCCACCCCCTCCCCATCCTGTCGCAACTACTCCCTCCGTAGCTCCCGCCATTTTGCCAGAACCAATGAAGCTTCTTAGATGAGAAGCGAAACGTCTTCTTCTTCCTCAAGGAAAAAAAAACGTTCCAGTCGGCTTTTGAAAAAGTACTGTGGGAAGAAAAATCAAGGTCCAGTTCCAAGCTGGGAATAAAACGGAGGCTGATTAGAAAGAAAGATTCTGTTTATTGGTGAACAGAACCAACACACACACACAAACACAGGCTGTTGTTCTGGGACAGCTGATCAAACGGTTGAATGAGTGGATGGATCTTTATAGATTTCTATTATGTCCTAAAACAGGGGTGTCAAACTCAGGGCTTGCGGGGCTGGATCTGGAAACAGCAAAGGACCAGGCCGTGGTGTCTATCAGCAAAAACAGAGCTCAGGAGGATTGTGCGCGGCCCTCCCCAGCTCCATTTTTGCTGGCAGAGAGTTGCAGGAAGCTGTCGCAGCTGGAAATGGAGCTCGGAAGCCCATTTTCGCTGGCCGAGGGCTCAGGGCCGCCACAAATACCCCCGACATGAGTGATGTTGAGCTGGCCACGCCTACCCTGGCCACGCCCCCTAATGCAGCCCTCAATGAAATCGAGTTTGACACACCTGTCCTAAAATGTCATGCCCTGACCTTCTTAATCCCAGCACTCTGGAGCTGAAGATGTTTTGCTTATGAATAGATTAGATGACTAGATGACCTACAAGATCCCTTCCAACTCTATTATTCCATTATCTATTGTCTTACCTTTGGAATAGAAAGGCCACACACGTTTACATTTTTCACTGTTTTCCTGGGAACACCAAACAATAAGACGTATTTTGAACGCAGAATTTCATGAAGGACGGCTTGAGTGTAAGGCAATTTCCACCGGTCTTCATAACAGATTGAGTCAGAGGAACCCAAAACCGTTTCCATTTCTTTGTAGACTTTATCTGGGTGAAATGTTAGAAAAGGGTATTATTCAGAGGTGAAATGATCCCGGTTCAGACCGGATCGCCCGATCCGGTAGCGATGGAGGCGGGTGGTTCGGAGAACCGGTAGCAAAAATCCCTGAGCCCCTCCCCCCATTGCCCAGCTGAGCCGAAGAGGTTATAGAAAAAATGTTTTTAAAAAGAAAAAAAGCCTCTACCGATCAGGCAAGTCAGCTGGGATCATCAGAGGCTTTTTTTTAAAAAAAGCTTCTGCCGATCAGGCAAGTCAGCTGGGATCGTCAGAGGCTTTAAAAAAAAAAAGGAAGCCTCTGCCGATCAGGCAAGTCAGCTGGGATCGTCAGAGGCTTTTTTAAAAAAAGGAAGCCTCTGCCGATCAGGCAAGTCAGCTGGAATCGTCAGAGGCTTTAAAAGCATTTTTTTTACAACCTCTTCAGCCGACAGAACCAGTAGTAACAAATTTTACATTTCACCACTGGTATTATTGTATTTGAGCTCAAATAAACCACAGCATTGTAGAGAGTGTTAGGGGCTAGGGTGAAATCCAACAGGTTCTGACAGGTTCTATTAATCTTCTCATCATCCCCATCACCCATCTCTTTCCACTTATGACTGTATGACTGTAACTTTGTTGCTGGTATCCTTAAGATTTATATTGATATTGTTTCCTGATTGCTTATTTGTACCCTATGACTATCATTAAGTGTTGTATCTTATGATTCTTGATGAATGTATCTTTTCTTTTATGTACACTGAGAGCCTATGAACCAAAGACAAATTCCTGGTGTGTCCAATCACACTTGGCCAATAAAAAATTCTATTCTATTCTATTCTTCTTCTGGAGAACTGGTAGCGGAAATTTTGAGTAGTTCGGAGAACCAGCAAATGCCACCTCTGGCTAGCCCCAGAGTGGGGTGGGAATGGAGATTTTGCAATATCCTTCCCCTGCCATGCCCACCAAGCCACGCTCACAGAACCGGTAGTAAAAAAAATTGAATTTCACCACTGATTAGGGGAGATCCTTTACGACTGTATAATGTCACTCTGCATGACTGTCTTAAAAAGTCCCGAAAAAACAAGGCACATTAAAATTCTCATTCCCATCACCTCACCAAGATCTTCAGAAAAATGGGAGGGGAGATCTGGAATTGGGGGTTTCCTTGGCAGATATTATGTTGCATCCTTCAAGGTGAGTCTGGGCACAGGGGACATTCATCTCTATGATGGTTCACATGTAGTCCTCAACTTACGATCACAATTAAGCCCAAAATTTCTGTTGTTAAGTGAGACATTTGTTAATTTGTTAAGGCCCCATTATACGACCTTTTTTGTTGAGTGAATTGATAAGTCAGTAACCCGGTTGTTAAGTGAATCTGGTTCCCCGTTGGCTTTGCTTGCCAAAAGATGATTACATGACCTTGAGACACAGCAATGGTCATAAGTATGAACCAGTTGCCAAGAATCTGAATTTTGATCACATGATTGTGGGGGTGCTCCAAAGGTTGCAACTGTGAAAAATTGTCTTAAATCACTTTTTTCAGTGCTGCTGTAACTTGGAATGAGGACTTACAGTCTTGTTGTATTCAGTCTTATTTCCCAGACGAGCCAGAACTACCGTTTTTCTTACCTTGGATATCTGGATAAGTCACCATGAGCAAAAGAGCCCATTGTAGAAAGCTTCCTGTGGTTTCTGTCCCAGCAACAAAAAATTCCATAATACAATGAGCCATGTTTTCATGATCGAAGTTTGAGTTGGGATCACTCTGTTTCTAACAAAAGGAGAGATTTTAGTTAGAAATTTTTATTATTATTTTATTTATTTTATTTTATGCAATTGATACGCCGCCCTATCTCCGAGGACTCAGGGCGGCTCACAACGGTAAAATGCACAATTCCCGCCAATATAAAATTAAAATCCCAATTTAAAACAATTTAAAATTCATTAACCCCCCCCCCATCAGTCCAGGCTGCGGAACAACCAGGTCTTCAAATCACGGTGGAACGAGCGAAGGTCAGGGGCCATCCGGAGCTCCAAAAGAAGCTGGTTCCAGAGGGTGGGTGCACCCACAGAGAAAGCTCTCCCCTTGGGGGTCGCCAGCCGATACTGTCTGGCCGACGGCACCCTGATGAGGCCCTGTCTGTGGGAACGCATCGGGTGATCGGGAATTGTCGCTGGCTGCAGGGGCTCCGACAAATATCCCGGGCCTAGGCCATTAAAGGCTTTGTAGGTAATAACCAGCACCTTGAACCTCACTCGAAGGGCAGCCGGTAACTTTGGTGCCCTCTGGGTTATGTAGGAAGTGAAAGCCAAATCTGGCTCTAGGTTCTGCCTCAGTTTACCTTTCCAATAAGTTAGCACCCACCCCTCTCCTACAAGAATAAAATATTTGTCAGTGTATAAGAAATTATGAGCTGGGATAGCCATAACAACAAGTCATCCAATGGGAACTGTTTGGTGACTAAGAAAAAGGATCTGTTGTGAGCCATGGGAGACGGCTTGGGGTTCTGGCTTCTGCTGCATGTGTATTGTATACATGCATCATGCTTTACAGTATTGTATATAAACAAGTTTCTTCTATAAATGAATCCTGCTGAATTATTTACGTGTGCGGGTTGGATTGCTACAAACTCTAACAATATTCTAGGAAATATTAAAAAGGCAGAATATTATACTTCCCTGGATGAGAAAAGGAGAAACGTGCTCTTGGAAAGCAGCCCCCACCTTTGTTAATAGCCCCAGAAAGACTGGGCCATCCTATCTACAAGACAAAAGGCCTTCAGCTCCAGGGTGATAAGATTAGCCCACAGTCAAAATCCAAACCGGGACAAAGAGCTCCACCTCTAGGCCACCGCACCACTCCCTTACCTTTCCTATCTGGAGAAGCACATGCAAACCGGCCAGCTGCTCTCTTCCACGTTCTGGTGCTCTGCTGTGCGTGAGCTCCAGTTTCGGCACTCAGTGCCAAAAAGATTAACCATCACTGAACTACAGCAATATTCATTAGAGACAATAGATGGCAGTGCTTATAAATTTGGAGCTCCATCTATGGTATACTAATCTATGTGTTTTCTCTTAATAAAGTTTCCTGCTTCCTTGTTGCAGTTAAGCAGAAAAGCACATGGGGAGTGTGCATTATCTGTTCTGAAGGGTTAAACAAACAAACAAACAAACAAACAAACAGGCAGTTTTTAACACAGGCTAAGAACTTGAATAGCTCTGAAAAGCCCATGTTCTCAAAGGATCAAAAAATCCTCTTGACATATCTGTGGATCCCAGCAGGCATGACTAAAATTCCCAGAAGATCCTTACCTTTTCTATCTGGAGAAGATAAAGATCCAGGAAATCCTTTGGCTGACGCAGGGCCAAATCTTGGCTGTGTTTCTCTGACTCTTCCTTTACAATTGACATCCCTGTCTGGATGGATGCTTGTATCTTCTGATGAGGCCCTGGGAGATGTTTCACTAGCCATGGAAACAATTCATAGAACTACAAGAGAAGTAAAAACAAAACAAAAAAAAATCCTACCAGCTCCCTGATGAGTTAGATAATGCAGGCAGTCCTCAACTTACAACAGTTCGTTTAGTGACTGTGCAAGGCTAGAACTTCCATACAGTATCAGAAGGTGAATTGCAACTTGCTCTTCTTCTTTTTTTTTTTGTATATTTTTTTTATTTTTTTTTATTTTTTTTGAAAAAGTTTTACAAATACCAATTTTTCCCCCTTTTCCCCCCCCCCATCCCTGCCTAACCCCCCCTAACCCTCCCCTCCTCCCATGACTTCCCCAAGGTGAAATCCGTCCACATTGTATTATAACATGCTTTACCACCCCTCTATTCTCCCCCCTGTGCACCATACATTTCTACATAACAATAAGCTATATTGCCCCCTATATACTATACATTTCTACACAACATTCAGCTAAAACCTATCTGGTACTTCCTAGTTTGATATTTATTCTGCACATAATCTATCCATTTCTTCCACTCCCATGCATAAGTCTCCTGAGTCCGGTCTTTTAAATATGCTGATATCTTCGCCATTTCTGCAAAACGGGCCATCTTCAAAGTCCATTCTTGAATTGTAGGCATATCAACCCTTTTCCAATATTGACCAATCAATAACCTAGCTGCTGTCACCGTATACAATATCAATTTTGTTTCACCCACTGAAAAGCCCTTAACTATACCCAGTAAAAACAATTGAGGAGAAAATTGAATTTTTTTCTTCAAAACATTTTGCACAACCCACCAAATTTTTATCCAAAAAGCCTTGGCTTTCTTGCATGTCCACCATATATGATAATATGTAGCATCTAAGCAATCACATCTCCAGCATTTTGGTTGAACATTAGGATACATGCATGCAACTTGCTCTTCTTTTTTTATTTTATTTTTTATTTTTCAATTTATATACCGCCCTTCTCCCTGAGGACTCAGGGCGGTGCACAGCCAGAATTAAAAACATAAAATACAAATATTAAAAACAATTAAAATCTATATAAATTTGGCCCAAAATTTAAAAAGCCACAAACCAATTAAACATTTAAAAATTTTAAAAAATTTCTTGCTAAGCCAGCCCGGCTTGCTGGAAAAAGTGGGTTTTAAGGGCACGGCGGAAGGCACTGAGGTCTTGGATTCTCCTTATCTCTGGGGGCAGCTGGTTCCAGAGGGTAGGTGCCCCCACAGAGAAGGCCCTCCCCCTGGGGGTCACCAGCCTACATTGATTGGCTGATGGCACCCTGAGGAGGCCCTCTCTGTGGGAGCGCACGGATCGCTGGGAGGTCGTCGGTAGCAGCAGGCGGTCTCGAAGATAGCTAGGCCCTATGCCATTCTTGAAGTTCAGGACAACTCCTTAACCTTCTATCACATTTGCCCAGTCACAAGAGAATTCGCTATGTGGTTTCCATACATTCTTTCCATTGTAGCCCTATATCAAATGTTCAGGGGCAAAGGAGAAGAATGTGGAGCTAACATTGGGCATTTTCTTCTCCAAGAGCATATTATAATATTAACTTTAAAACTGGAATTATTTATTTATTTATTTATTTATTTATTTATTTATTTATTTATTTATTTTATCGGACTTATATGCGCCCTTTCTCCACAAGGACTCAGGGCGGCTCACAGCAATAAAGCAACAACAAGTCCAGATTAAAATTCAAATGATAAAAGATAAAAGAATCTAAGATTCCCATTAAAACCCCTTCAGTCCAGGTCAGCCTGGTGAAACAACCATGTTTTAAGGTCACGGCGGAAGGAGCGAAGGTCGGGGGCCACCCGGAGCTCCAAGGGGAGCTGATTCCAGAGGGTAGGTGCGCCTACAGAGAAGGCTCGCTCTCTAGGAGCCGTCAGCCGGCATTGCTTGGCCGACAGGACCCCAAGTAGGCCCTCTCTGTGTGAGTGCACCGGGCGATGGGGAGCTGTTGCTGGCCGCAGGTGATCCGCCAAATACCCCGGGCCTAAGCCTTGTAGGGCTTTATAGGTAATCACCAACACCTTGAACTTCACTTGAATTAGTTCATGTATCTGTGTAAATGGCTTAGGGCCAGGGTACTTACGGGACCGCCTTCTGCTACCAATTGCCTCCCACCGGCCAGTTCGCTTCCACAGAGAGGGCCTCCTCAGGGTGCCGTCGGCCAGACAATGCCGGCTGGCGACCCCCAGGGGAAGAGCCTTCTCTGTGGTGGAACGATCTACCCCCAGAGATACGAGTGATCCCAGACCTCCGGACTTTTCGTCGGGCCCTTAAAACCTACTTTTTTCAATTAGCCGGGCTGTCCTGATTTTATGGTTGGTTTTTAAAATTTGATATTGATTTTAATTGAAATGTTTTTAAATTATGGGCCAAACTTTATTGAATTATTTTTAATCGATTTTAACTTTTGTGTACAAATGTTTTATTTTGGCTGTTCACCACCCTGAGTCCGAAAGGAGAAGGGCGGTATAGAAATCTGAAAAATAAAAATAAATAAATAAATAAATTAAAACTTTGGCCTACTTGCCTAGATATACAGTATTAACCACTTTACTACAGTGGTCTTCGGAGTACTAATAAGAGACTCAGAAAGTCCTAAGGGACTCAATAAGAAACTGATTGCTCACCAATAACAAAGGGGAACCGCCAAATTTCATATAATTGCTAATGTCTTCTATAATCATCTGGAACTTTCCGTCTTCAGGGGGAAACCGGTATCCCAAACTCAAGAGGCAAATCATATTACAGACTGAATTAATGATGGCCGGTAAAGGATCAATTGGCTGCCCTGTAAATGAAATTATACATTATCGTCTTAACAATATGCCAGCTTGAAGGTTGAGCAGGACTTCATTTCATTTCATTTCATTTCATTTATTAGATTTCTATACCGCCCTACTCCCGAAGGACTCAGGGCGGTGCACAGCCAAACAATAAAAACACATACAATACAAAATTTAAAAAATAGAATAAAATCAAATTAAATAATTTTGGCCCCGACAAATTTAAAACCCCAAACTTTTAAAACCAATTTAAAATTGAATATATAAATACTAAAAGATGTTTAAAATTTTAAAAATCTTTTATAAAAGAGGGGGAAAATTAGGCCAGGCCGGCCTGGTGAAATAGTAAGGTCTTTAAGGCGCGGCGGAAGGTGCGCAGATCCGGGATCCTCCGTATCTCTGGGGGGAGCTCGTTCCAGATAGTAGGTGCCCCCACAGAGAAGGCTCTCCCCCTGGGGGCCGCCAGTCGGCATTGTTTGGCTGACGGCACCCGGAGGAGCCCCTCTCTATGGGAGCATACCGGCCGGTGGGAGGCTATTGGTGGTAGTAGGCGGTCCCGCAAGTACCGGGTCCTAAGCCATGGAGAGCTTTAAAGGTGGTAACCAAAACCTTGAAGCGCACCCGGAAGACCACCAGGAGCCAGTGCAGCTCACGCAGGAGAGGTGTTACATGGGAACGCCATGTCGCTCCCATTACCACCCGCGCGGCCGCACTCTGCGCCAGTTGGAGCCTCCGGGTGCTCCTCAAGGGGAGCCCCATGTAGAGAGCGTTGCAATAGTCCAGGCGGGAGGTGACAAGGGCATGAGTGACCGTGCATAAAGAGTCCCGATCCAGAAAGGGACGCAACTGGCGAATCAGGCGAACCTGATGAAAAATCCTCCCGGTCACGGCCGTCAAGTGCTCTTCTAAAGACAGCCGTGAATCCAGGAGGACGCCCAAGTTGCGAGCCCTCTCCGTGGGGGCCAATGATTCGCCCCCAATAGTCAGTGATGGCGTCAACTGACTATATCGGGACGTCGGAAACCACAGCCACTCAGTCTTGGATGGGTTGAGCCTGAGCCCGTTCCTCCCCATCCAGATCCGTACGGCCTCCAGGCACCGGGACATCACTTCAAGGGCATCGTTGGGGTGATCCGGGGTGGAGATGTACAGCTGGGTGTCGTCAGCGTACTGATGGTACTCCACCCCGAAACCACGGATGATCTCACCCAGCGGCTTCACATAAATGTTGAACAGGAGAGGCGAGAGGACCGACCCTTGCGGCACCCCACATATGAGGGGCCTCGGGGTCAACCTCTGTCCCCCTGTCAACACAGACTGCGACCGGTCAGAGAGAAAGGAGGAGAACCACCGCAACACAGTGCCTCCCACCCCCAACTCTTCCAACCGGTGCAGCATGATACCATGGTCGATGGTATCAAAAGCCGCTGAGAGATCTAACAGGACCAGGACAGAGGAGCACCCCCTGTCCCGAGCCCTCCAGAGATCATCAACCAACGTGACCAATGCCGTTTCCGTGCTGTACCCGGGCCTGAAGCCCGACTGGAACGGATCCAGATACTTCATGATCAGGTCAGATTAACAGAGTTGGAAGGGACCTTGTAGGTCATCTAGTCCAACCACCCGCCCAAACAGGAGACCTGCCTACACCATTTCTGACAAATGGCAGTCCAATCTCTTCTTGAAAGCCTCCAGTGATGAAGCTCCCACAACTTCTGAAGGCAACTTCTGTTTCATGGGTTGATTGTTCTCCATATCGGAAAAATTCTAACAAGAAATATGATTTGATTGTAGAGGGAGGGGAATTATGCTGGTTCTCTTCCTTCCTTTGGGGCTGATTTCAGTCAGCCCCAATGTCGGTTTTGGGGGATATGGCATTCCCTAGAACCCTTCTCTTTGGGGTGTCTCATAGCTCAACGCTGTCTCCCATCTATATATATAAAAGCTAAAACCACCACTCCAGAACCGTAAAGCCTACAAAATTGACATTTGCCACATATGTTCCTCTTGGTTTCTAGGTGCTCACTAAAAGGATTTTTCGAAATGACCATCAGATCATTAGTATTTCCTATACTATTATAACACGTTCTGATGCTAATTAGTTAGACGTTCTACTCCCCTCCCAATTTGAAAATAACTCTGGAGAGAATGGGATAGCATAGGACAGGCTTCTGTGGGACAAGCCTCATGGAGAGAAGGGGCTAGAAAGCCTGAGGGAAAGAAGGGGATAGTATAGGAGACGTTTCTGTGGGGCAAGGCTGAGGGAGAGAAGAAGAGAGGAGAGGCTTCTGTGGGGCCAGCCTGAAGGAGAGAAGGGGAGAGGAGAGGCTTCTGTGGGGCAAGCCTCATGGAGAGAAGGGGCTAGAAAGCCTGAGGGAAAGAAGGGGATAGGATAGGAGACGTTTCTGTGGGGCAAGGCTGAGGGAGAGAAGGAGAGAGGAGAGGCTTCTGTGGGGCCAGCCTGAAGGAGAGAAGGGGAGAGGAGAGGCTTCTGTGGGGCAAGCCTCATGGAGAGAAGGGGCTAGAACGCCTGAGGGAGAGAAGGGGATAGGATAGGAGATGTTTCTGTGGGGCAAGGCTGAGGGAGAGAAGGGGAGAGGAGAGGCTTCTGTGGGGCAAGCCTCATGGCAAGAAGGGGAGAGGACAGGCCTCTGTGGGGCAAGCCTCATGGAGAGAAGGGGCTAGAAAGCCTGAGGGAGAGAAGGGGACAGGATAGGAGACATTTCTGTGGGGCAAGGCTGAGGGAGAGAAGGGGAGAGGACAGGCTTCTGTGGAGCAAGCCTCATGGAGAGAAGGGGCTAGAAAGCCTGAGGGGGAGAAGGGGACAGGATAGGAGACGTTTCTGTGGGGCAACGCTGAAGGAGAGAAGGGGAGGGGACAGGCCTCTGTGGGGAAAGCCTCATGGAGAGAAGGCACTAGAAAGCCTGAGGGGGAGAAGGGGACAGGATAGGAGACGTTTCTGTGGGGCAAGGCTGAGGGAGAGAAGGGGAGAGGACAGGCTTCTGTGGAGCAAGCCTCACAGAGAGAAGGGGCTAGAAAGCCTGAGGGGGAGAAGGGGACAGGATAGGAGACGTTTCTGTGGGGCAAGGCTGAGGAGAGAAGGGGAGAGGAGAGGCTTCTGTGGGGCAAGCCTCATGGAGAGAAGGTGCTAGAAAGCCTGAGGGAGAGAAGGGGATAGGATAGGAGACGTTTCTGTGGGGCAAGGCTGAGGGAGAGAAGGGGAGAGGAGAGGCTTCTGTGGGGCAAGCCTCATGGAGAGAAGGGGCTAGAAAGCCTGAGGGAGAGAAGGGGATAGGATAGAGACGTTTCTGTGGGGCAAGGCTGAGGGAGAGAAGGGGAGAGGAGAGGCTTCTGTGGGGCCAGCCTGAAGGAGAGAAGGAAAGAGGAGAGGCTTCTGTGGGGCAAGCCTCATGGAGAGAAGGGGCTAGAAAGCCTGAGGGAGAGAAGGGGATAGGATAGGAGACGTTTCTGTGGGGCAAGGCTGAGGGACAAAAGGGGAGAGGAGAGGCTTCTGTGGGGCCAGCCTGAAGGAGAGAAGGGGAGAGGAAAGGTTGATCGTAACTACTCATTAATTTTGATAAATCAAAACTGAACTATCTATTTGCTTCCAGGTATGATTCAGAGTGCTGGATATAACTGTTGTGGTCCACCACAACTGGCAGCAGAGTCGGACAGTGAGGAGGTTGGGGAGGAACATAGGCCAGTCCTGGAGTCTGGGGAGAGATGAGGCTCCCCCTGAAATTTGGGTGGCCCTATTCTTTTGGTGTTCGAGAAGGCCAAGCTCTGGCCTCAGTTGGTTGGAATCCTTTGCTGGGTGACCGATACATGGGCTGCATTCACGTTTTGTATTTTTAGTCTGATTATACACCTGCCATTTTGTTTCACGTGGTGAGCTGCACAATGTTGATATGGTGATGGGTGATGCCTAAACTGAATGAATGAATGAATGAATGAATGAATGAATGAATGAATGAATGAATATAGGATTGGAGAACAAAACACTTGAATCCTGCAAGTTCATCCCAATCTCCATATCATCACTGTCAAACTATTTCCTACCCTTTGTGCGTGCAAAGATCTCCACCAACTGATGTGCTGCCTCTTCTAGTTTATGTTCCATGTCTTTCTTTCCCAGTCCCAGCAGGCGGAGAGCGCTTATGGTAAAATGTCTCTGCTCTTTCCAGGCATGACCATTTGAAAACGCAATCCCTGAGGAATCAATGTGAGAGTCACATTTAAAAAAAAAAAAAAAAAAGCCCCGTAAGCATGACTTACAAGTTCCACAAATAATTGCAGTGTGTGAGGCAACTGGATAACTATCTAAAACTTCTTGCAACCTTTTTGTTCTTAGTTTCCCTTGCACTCTTTCCCACATTCACTCGCACGCCTTGTCTGCTCTTCTACCAAAGAGTCTCTAGGACAGGGGTATCAAACTCAATTTCATTGGAGGCCACATCAGGGCTGTGGTTGACTTCGAGGAGCCGACTGAGTGGGTGTGGCCAACTAGGTGGGCGTAGCCAGCTTGAGGTCAGACCTAGAAGCCATCTTTTTCGTTGGGCCTTCAGGACTGCCACATTTTCTACTGTGGGAAACTGGGAGGGGGGATTGTATGGAGCCAGGGTGATATGTAGTCATAATAACATTCCTTTCTCAGAGAGTCAAGGATATCTTGCCCTGCACCTGGAAGGCTGGAACTGGGAGGCATCTCCAGTTGAGATGATGCTTTGATTGGACCATGTGATGGACATGTAGGTGTTAGGCAGGGACTTGGACTTTCCTTTGGGTGGGGAAAACCTGGAAGCTTTCAGATTCGGGTTTTCCCAGATGTGTCAATATGACATCTCCAGTAGTGGGTTTATACCGGTTTGCCCTGGCTTGAGTGAACCGGTAGTAGCAACAGTGGGAGGCTCCACCCACCCACCCAGACGTCATCACGGACACATGCGCAGAAGCACCGCACACGCTCACAGTTCCAAACTGGTAGGGAAGGTAAGTGGAACCCACTACTGGACATCTCTAATGAAATGGAACTTTGAGGAAACTCAAGACTCGGATTTTTTCTTTTTTTTCATTTGATTTATATGCCGCCCTTCTCTGGAGACTCAGGGCGGCTGACAGTGCGTTAAGCAATAGCCTTCATACTTTTGTATATTTATACAAAGTCAGCTTATTGCCCCCACAAACTGGGTCCTCAATTTTCCTACCTTAGAAAGGATAGAAGGCTGAGTCAACCTTGAGCCTGGCGGGATTCGATCTTACTTTAATTACAGACAGCTGGTGTTAAATTACAGAGCTCTGTCTGTTGAGCTATCCAGGCTCCCCCCTTGTTTGGGGTGTTACTCGGAACCCTGACACTTGATGCCACTCACTGGGCATGGCTGACAGGGTGGGCGTGGCCAGCTTGACGCCACTCCCCAAACTGCTGGCATGTTTCCTCTTTGCATTGGGTAGACTGGGCCGAAGCGACATAAGTTGGCCCCTTACATTTTCCAGGACAGCCCTGTGGTTCAGATGCGACCACATCAGTGGTGGGTTTCAAAATTTTTTACTACCGGTTCTGTGGGCATGGCTTGGTGGGTGTGGCATGGCTTGGTGGGCGTGATAGGGGAAGGATACTGTAAAATCTCCATTCCATCCCCACTCCAGGGGAAGGTTACTGCAAAATCCCCATTTCCTCCCGATCAGCTGGGACTCGGGAGGCAGAGAATAGATGGGGGTGGAGCCAGTCAGAATTTTTACTACCGGTTCTCCGAACTACTCAAAATTTCCGCTACCGGTTCTCCAGAACTGGTCAGAACCTGCTGAAACCCACCTCTGCACCACATCATGCGCCATATATGGCCTGCGGGCCTTGTGTTCGACACCCCTGGTCTAGGACAACTTTCCATGGCCAATTCGCCATGGGACAAGAGTGACACTAACACCGAAGCCGTTAAATATGGGATAGAATTATTGAAGAAAGGAGGCCAAACGAGGGACAAAGTGAAATGTGAATGACGAAAAATTAAAATATTTTTAAAAATTATTTTAAACAATGAAATCGAATGGTTGGGGATTGTTCCACAGTCAGTTGGCTGTGGCAAGTTGTCCCCTTCCTTACCGGAGGGTTCTTTTTGTTGTGGCCATAAGAGAAGCACAAGGAAACAACAGGTAGATTGTACAATACATGACAAAAATTTAACTTTCATACGTTCTGCGAACTAATATTTATGGTTTCAAGGTGTTAACGTTTTTTTAAAAAAATATGGTACAGGTAGTCCATGACATATGATCACTTAGTGATCATTCAAAATTATAAACTACCTGAAAATGGTGACATCTGACCCAGATCCAAAGTTACTATGGTTAGACACCCCCCCCCACCTTCTTGTGTTCACATGACTCTACTTTGGGTACTTGGCAACAAGGATGTATTTATGCAGGGATCAAATCCAGCAGGTTCTGACAGGTTCTGGAGAACCGGTAGTGGAAATTTTGAGCAGTTCGGAGAACCGGTAGTGGAAATTTTAAGCAGTTTGGAGAACCGGTAGCAGAAATTTTGAGCAGTTCGGAGAACTGGCAAATACCACCTCTGGCTGGCGCCAGAGTGGGGTGGGAATGGAGATTTTCCAATATCCTTCCCCCAGGAGTGGAAAATGAATGGAGATTTTGCAGTATGCTTCCCCTGGAGCGGGGTGGGAATGGAGATTTTGCAGTATCCTTCCCCTGCCATGCCCACCAAGCCACACCACGCCCACCAAGCCATGCCCACAGAACCGGTAGTAAAATAATTTGGATTTCACCACTGCATTTATGGCTATCTGCAGAGTCCTGTGATCATGTCACTGACTTTTATGAAGGTTTTGCTGAAAACCCGAACTTCCTTCCAAAGTTTGGCAAAACTACCTAATATTAACATAAATAAATATCATAATATCGGTTCCGTTGTGTTTCTATAATCATTACAATTTACAACTGTAATGGACAGGCTCCATTCTGGTCTAACCCGAGAACCTGTATAGAAAATGGACACTAGGATTGTATTTCTTTCTTCTACACAAAACAAGCTCCTGTCTTATTCTACGGTACCATCTTCCTATTACTACAAGTTAAAATTAAAATAAAAATAGCTGTAATCTATAAATTTCTATATTGATGCTCTATTTAACAGAATAACAGAGTTCAAAAGGACTTTTTAGGTCTTCTAGTCCAACCACCAGCTGAGGCAAAAAAACCCTATGCCCAGTGGTGAAATTCAAAAATTTTCCCTACCGGTTCTGGGAGCATGGCTTGGTGGTCATGTGACTGGAAAAACCAACTATCACACTTTACACAAAAATAACACAAAAGCTACACAACTGACTCACACACAATGCAAAAGCAGCTGGACTTCACACAAAATGGCCCCTGCAACAAGCAGGTGTGAAGTTTCCGAAAGATGCCCTAATTAATTCATGAGCCATGAGCCGAACTTCAAAAGAAATACAGTCATTTATTAGGAGCACCATTTCGGCAATATTCGGATGCAGTTAGAACTAATCCCACGTAGATTTACGTTCCCCTATGACCCTGTCTCTCCCCTCCTCCCTGGCCATGTCATAAATCACATTCTCCAATTAACCACTTTGGCTGGCTGTGAAATCCAACACCCTCCTTCTGATTGAGGTCAGGAAGAATGTATGGAATGCACTTCAGTTAGGGAAATCAATCAGCTCTATCAGTTCTCCCTCCCTCCTGCTCATGGCAACTTGAAAGCTTTGCAAGTTGACAGCAGGAACCTCACAAAGTCACAGAGAACTCCGGTAGCAGCGGTTGTGGGAGGCTCTGCCCACCTGTGCGGATGTCATAATGTCGCTTTTTTGTGACATTTTAAGCCTCTGCGCATGCGCAGATGATGGTGCACAGGAGCGGAGCGAACACGCATCTGGCACACGCATATTTACGAACTGGTAGGGAAGGTAAGTGAATTTCACCCCTGCATAAAATACCTTGGTCTTCAGAAGAACTTACCTTTACCTTTACATATTTTTAAAAGAAAAGTCGAAAGGGGCCGATCAGCAAAATCTTGCGAACGGTGGATCAGGCTTTCCTTCATTGCATGAAATCCAGAAATTACTACCACAGGTTGATGCCACACCCACATAGTGTAAATGTTTCCATATTGCTTGCTCATCTGACATTTGGGACAGAAAAAAGAGAAAACAGCTCGGACTTTATAGCAGGCAGATGAACCTTCATCACCTTTATATGACAGGAGCTAGAATTAGTATCCCATTTCCCATGTGACCCCAAAAGTCCCCCTGATCTATTTCTGGTGCGGTTTGGATTAAATGCCAAGGAACAGTTCCATAGAAATTAGGATTTCCTTTCTGACCAGTTTGGGTCCCATCTCTGTTTTCCTAAGTCAGTGATGGCTAACCTTTTTGCCGTCGTGTGCCAAAAGCGGGGGGAATGGGGTGGGTCACGGGTGCGGGTGCCCACATCTATAATTCAATGCTCCCCGCCCTCCCACGCATGCCCATGTGACCTCCCCTCATTTCACCCTGCTTTTGGCACGCGATGGCACGGTGGACCCGGTAGGCCTGTTTTCCCCCCTCCCCAGGCTCCAGAGGCTTTCTAGGAGCCTGGGGAGGGCAAGAACAGCCTTCCCCATCCCCCCGGAGGCCTTCCGGAGGCCGGAAACAGCCAGTTTCCCGACTTCCGGGGGGACCAGAAGGCCTGAAAATCAGTTGGCCGCATGTGTGCTGGAGCTGAGCTCGGGCAACACTCACGTGCCCACCAATATGGCTCTGCGTGCCACCTGTGACACCGGTGCCATAGGTTCGCCATCACGGTCCTAAGTCATTTGGGTCCTGGAGTGCATAAAAGAGAAACACCCATGAGCTCCAGGTAAGCATGGCACTGGCATTACTTCAAACATAATAAATATTCAAACCTTTCTAAGGTACGCAACAAAGGAGTAGGTTTTCAGGCACTGCACGCCAAAACTAGTTCTTACCCTCATTAAGCAAATAAGTTCTCGTGCTTAGCTTCTGTAGCTTTAGTAGCTTAGTGATTCTTGAAGAAGACTCAGTCACCCATGTTCTGGCCATTTCCCGTTTGGATATTGCAACACAATCTACATGGTGCTACTGTTTTGAAAATATCTGATGCAGAATGGAGCTGTGTGGGCAATATTAGAAGCCCAAAGAACGGTGCATATAATACAGGGGTGAAATGCTACCAGTTTGGACCGGTTCAAGAGAACCGGTAGCGGAGATTGGGGCTGGTTTGTCGAACCGGTAGCAATCGCTGGCTGGCAACCTGTGTGTCAGTGTCCCAGCACTGACATATAATAAAGGGAGGAGAAGCCTGAACTTTTGCCTGCTAAATCCCTTTGAAGATTCTGTCTCCTCGGAGATGGGGAGGGGGGAGACATTCCTGTGATCTGACGAAGAAGGAATCAGGAGAGTGACTTGGAAGATAGCCAATGAGAAGCAGAGAATTGGGGATCGGAAAGGGAGGGATTGGGGGGCAAAGGTCAGTACTGACCGCGAAAGAGTCAGGATCAGATTGCTGTGCTCGAATAAAGAGAAAATTTCCTTAAAGATCGGCAGTTTGGAAATTCATTTATTTTGAGATAGCATCAAAGCCTGACACTGTGATTATCTAGATCAGTGGTTCTCAGTCTTTCCTTCACAATGGACCCCCAAGACTTAAGATTTAAATCATTACATTTCTTCAAGCATTCGCGGACCCCCTGTGATGACATTGCGATCCCCTCCCAGGTGTCTGTGGACCACAGGTTGAGAACCACGGACCTAGATGATTTCTAGATGGCAGAATCTGGAAAATTTGTTGCAAAAGTGTTTTTTTTTAAAGGCAACTGAACTTTGTTTCTCTTTGAAGACGTTTCACTTCTCATCTAAGAAGCTTCTTCAGTTCTGAGTAAATGGTGGAGAATTGTGAAGGGAATTGTATTCCTTGCAGACATTTGGTTATTAGGATACGACACCATCTATCTCCAGTCTACAACACTGTCCTTTCAGCAGTTCCAAGAAGGCTCCACACCAGTGGTGAAATGTAAAATTTGTTACTACTGGTTCTATGGGCGTGGCTTGGGGGTGGTGGTAATGTGACTGGGTGGGCGTGGCCAATTTTTTTTTTTTACTTTTAAAACCATTTTTTCTACAACCTCTTTGTCGAAGAGGTTGTAAAAAAATGCTTTCAAAAGATTCTGACAATCCCAGCTGAGTTGCCTGATTGGCAGAGGCTTTTTTTTCTTTTAAATGCCTCTGACGATCAGGCAATTCAGCTTGGATCATCAGAGGCATTTAAAAGAAAAAAAGTGACAATCCCAGCTGAGCTGCGCGATCATCAGAGGCTTTTTTTTTTTACTTTTAAAAGCATTTTTTTAGCCAAAGAGGTTGTAGAAAAAATGCTTTCAAAAGTAAAAAAAAAAAGCCTCTGATGATTGTGCGGTGCAGCTGGGCATGGGGCAGGGGCAGGGGCAGGGATTTTTGCTACTGGTTCTCTGAACCACCCGCCTCCATCGCTACCGGATCAGGCGATCTGGTCGGAACCGGGAGCATTTCACCCCTGCTCCACACCCATTTGCACTATTCAGATGAGGGCACAGATAAACCTCCAAGTGGCCTCGGAAAGAATGCAACCAGATGACTGGCAAGGAATATAAATCCTTCCATTCTCCACCATTCAGTCAGAACTGAAGAAGCTTCTTGGATGAGATGCGAAACATCTTCAAGGAAAAAGCCCTACAATAAGTGTCTCTGCATCTGTGGAGCGGCAGAGGTAGAAGATCCTGGCTCACATCCTGTTTGATTGTTGCTTGTATAAGGGGGTGAGAGGCAGGTATTTTGGTCCATATACCAAACGAATGACCCATTGGGATCCCCACATCAAAACAACTTATTTTAGGTGCAGCCAGAACCTGAAAATAACACTGAACACAGCACAGTCCTTAAACAAAATGGATCGGATGAGATCTGCATACGTGGGACTGATTGGGGTAGATTGTAAGGGTGACACTGAAATATAATTTTATGTCATTTTATTCTATTTTATATATTTATGTATTAAATTATATTGTATCTTATCCTATAACTAGCAACATAATTTTAAATTGGATGTTTTAAATTTTTGGGGTTTTAAATTAAGCCAAATTTATTTAATATTTTTAAATTATTTTAAATTGATGTTTATTCTGTTTTTAATTAGGCTGTACACCGCCCTGAGTCCTTCGGGAGAAGGGCGGTATAGAAATAAAATTATTATTATTATTATTATTTATTGGTTAATCTTTAGTGAGATTCACAGCCTTTGAGGCTGGTTAATAGCTCAGCAGCTCGAGTCCTAACCAAGGACCTAGGAATTGTTAAGGTATCGTCGGAGGATGTAAGCTGTTCCGAGTAAGGTGGTTTTTTGTAGAGTCAAAATGTTCAAGTCCGGCAAATTTAGAATTTCTAAATAGCGGGGTAGCCCTTTGGGTATTGCTCCAAGGGCTCCAATTACAATCGGGGCAACACACGATTTCTTTTTTCACAGTCGCTCAACTTCAATTTGTAAGTCCCGGTACTTTGTGACTTTTTCTTGCTGCTTATCTTCAATTTGTGCATCACCAGGTATTGCAATGTCCATGAACCATACTTTTTTCTTTTCAACTATTGTTATGTCAGGTGTGTTGTGGACCAAGTGCCTGTCAGTCTGAATCCTAAAGTCCCACAAGATCTTGAGTTTCTCATTCTCTAAAACTTTCTCAACCTGATGTTCCCAGTGGTTTTTGCTGTACTCAAATCCAAACTTCTGGCACAATTTCCAGTGAATGATTTTAGCAACACGGTCATGGCGTTGTAGGTAGTCAGTTTGTGAAATTTTGCTGCACCCACTGATCAGGTGGTCAACTGTCTCTTCTTTTTCATTGCAGAGGCGGCATTTGCTGTTGGTGGTAACATGTTGAATTTTTGCCTTCATACAGTTTGTGGCTAGGGCTTGTTCTTGAGCTGCCAAAATAATTTTTATTATTTTTATTTTTATTTTTATTTTTATTTTTATATTATTATTATTATTATTATTATTATTATTATTATTATTATTATTATTGTATTTTACCCAACTCTTATTTTAAATTGTTTGTATAGGATTTTATTGGTGATATGTGTTTGGACTTTGTGCTTTGACATGGCCTATAGGCTAATCAATAAAGCTCTCTATCTATCAAGGAAAAACAAAGTTCAGTTGACTTTTCAAAAGGCAGCTTTGGGATAACCACGATCCCAGATGACTGAGAACCTCCACAGTCTGTGAAATTATTTCAGAAGGTTATTGACCTCTTGGGAAAATCGATGGTCGGGTCAGAAGTAGCCATACTCCATACAAGAGTTCTGATCGCTTTTTCCATCAAGAGGACCAAGAATGTTGACTCTTCCCCCTTGAATGTGTCTCTGACCCTGAATGCAAGTTCATAGAACTCCTTCTTGCTTTAATTCCCTCCTCTGATACTTTTATCTGTTTTTTTTTTCTCCCACGGGCATGTCAATTTCAAAGGGGATTGACAATGCTGCAGCCCAAATTCTAAAATCAAGTAGGACATAAATGAAGGTTGTCGGAGCAGTCCATTTTAGATCAAGCTACTTTCCTCCTTAATCAAAAGCAGGAGAGCGTATCAGTGAGGCTGGAGAGCAGGGTGTCAAACTTGTGTCGTCACGTGACATATTGGGACTTTTGTGGTTAAGTTCAGTGGTAAAAATTCTTGCTGGTTTAGCTGGAAAGCCGGCAACCCATGTTTGAGACCCGAGCACCATGCAACGGAGTGAGCTCCTGTTCTTGCCTCAACTCCTGCCAACCTAGCAGTTCAAAAGCATGCAAATACAAGTAGATAAATAGGTACCACTTCAGTGGCAAGGTAACATTGCTCCGTGATCTTCTGCTGACCACATGACCACAGAAATATCTTCGGATAACACTGGTTCAATGGCTTTGAACCAGCATTTAACATCCAGCTGCCTGCAATTACTGCGAGTTCAATTCTCACCAGGCTCAAGGTCGACTCAGCCTTCCATCCTTTCTAAGGTAGGTGAAATGAGGACCCAGATTGTGGGAGCAATAAACTGACTTTGTATAAAATATACAAAAGTATGAAGGCTATTGCTTAACGCATTGTAAGCCGCCCTGAGTCTCCGGAGAAGGGCAGCATATAAAAATAAAAAAATAGAAATGGACAGACTTCCCTGGAGCTCAAGGATAAATGTGAAACACAGTACTATATAATCTGGAAAAAAATTTACAAATGGCTAGACAAAAGGAGGATAGCCGAGACAAGGGTGTAATGTTGGATGAGAAATATATACGTTATGACGGATAAATATGTATGTAAATTGCATAAATAGGTACAGGTATAGATTAATAGACAAGTATGTACTGTATAATTGTGTAGAAATATGATATAGATTGTTAGTACGATGTTATGTGTAAGTAACGTATAAGGTTAAAGAATTATATTATAATATTAACTTTAACATAATTTGTTAACCAGTGATGTCATATCTATGTCCGATGTTTTTAATTTTGAATGATTAACAAAAAACTTTTTTTAAAAAAAAAGAAAAAAAGAGAGAAAGCAGTCATTTGAAGATTTCTCCCTATGGCACTGGCATTACTTCAAATGTAATAAATAGTCAAACCTTTCTGAGGTATGCAACAGAACAGTAGGTTTTCAGGCACTGCACGCAGAAACTCGTTCTTGCCCTCATTAAAAAAATAAGTTCTCCTGCTTAGTTTCTGTAGCTTAGTGATTCTTGAGGGAGACTCAGTCACTTATGATCTGGCCATTCCCCGTTTGGATATTGCAACACACTCTACAGGGTGCTCCAGTTTTGAAAATATCTGAAATCTTCAGCTGGTGCAGAATGGGGCTATATGGGCAATCTTGCAAACCCAAAGAATGGTGCATGTAACACCTTTACTGCACGAGCATACATTAGATGCCCGTTTGCTTCTGGGCTCAATTCAAGGTGTTAGGACTTCCTGCCTGGACTACTGTAATGCCCTCTACATGGGGCTCCCCTTGAGGAGCACCCAGAGGTTCCAGCTGGTCTAGAATGCGGCCGCGTGGGTAGTTACGGGAGCGACGTGGCGCTCCCATGTGACTCCCCTCCTGTGCGAGCTGCACTGGCTCCCAGTGGTCTTCCGGGTGCGCTTCAAGGTTTTGGTTACCACCTTTAGAGTGCTTCATGGCTTAGGACCGGGGTACCTACGAGACCGCCTTCTGCCACCAGTAGCCTCTCACCGACCAGTACACTCCCATAGAGAAGGTCTTCTCAGGGTGCCATTGGTCAAACAATGTCGACTGGCAGCCCCCAGGGGGAGAGCCTTCTCTGTGGGGGCACCTACTATCTGGAACGAGCTCCCCCCGGAGATATGGAGGATCCCGGATTTGCGCACTTTCCGCCGTGCCCTCAAACCATTCTTATTCCAGCAGGTTGGTCTGGCCTAACCTCCCTTTTAATTGCTTTTAAATTTGTTTTATAAATTGGGGTGTTTTAAATTTGTTTTGGGCCAAAGTATTTAATGTATTTTTAAATGGTTTTTTAAAAGTTTGTACTATGTGTATTTTATCTTTTGGCTGTTGACCATGCTGAGTCCTTCGGGAGTAGGGCGGTATATAAATTAAATAAATAAATAAATAAATAAATAAATAAATAAATAAATAAATAAATAAATAAATAAATCCCTGCGTTTCCCCATTATACCAGCTCCTCCCGTCCAGTCAGGCAGAGAAGGGAAATTGTGGATCCTGTCAGTTAAAGAATTAAGACTGGTGGGGTCCAGGAAGAGATCCTTCTCTGCCATTGCCCCACCCTGCGGAACATCCTTTCCCCCCAAGAGTGAGGGGGGCTCCCACTCTCTTACCTTTTGGGAAAGGTGTGAAAACGTGGCTCTGTGGCTTTGTTTCCTCCTTGGAGGAGAACAAGTGATTAACACCCCTGAAAGTCCCCCTCCTTTACCTTTCAATTATTTTTTAACATTGTTTTTAATCAATCTTGCCTTCTTTTAAATTTCAACTCTTATATACTGTTTTTATGTTTTGAAATTTTATTGTACGCTGCCCAGAGTCCCTCTGGGGGAAAGGTGGATGGTTTCAAAATTAGATAGATCAAAAGTCTGGGGATCACTTAGATAGCTAAGTAGGAAGATAGGTAGGTAGGTATGTAGATGATAGATAGATGGATGGATGGATGGATGGATGGATGGATGGATGGATAGCAATAGCAATAGCAATAGCAATAGCACTTAGACTTATATGCCGCTTCACAGTGCTTTACAGCCCTCTCTAAGCAGTTTACAGAGTCAGCCTCTTGCCCCCAACAATTTGGCTCCTCATTTTGCCCACCTCGGAAGGATGGAAGGCTGAGTCAACCTTAAGCCTGGTGAGATTTGAACTGCCAAATTGTAGGCAGCCAGCAGTCAGCAGAAGTAGCCTGCAGTACTACACTCTAACCCAGGAGTGAGTTCTACTTACCTTTGCAACGGGAGCACGCTTGTGCTTTTGCACATGCGCAGAATGTCAATTATGACATCTGGGCGGGTGGGCGGAGCCTCCTGCCACTTTTACTACCGGTTCTCAAGAACCGGACAGAACCAGGAGCAACCCACCACTGCTCTAACCACTGCGCCACCGTGGCTTAGATAGATAGATAGATAGATAGATGGATAGACAGACAGACAGACAGACAGACAGACAGACAGACAAATACCTTACTGAAAGTATCATTGGAAAGCTTGGTCCCAATCCGCCAGAGTCCACCAATGAGAGGAAGAGGAAGAGGGCCAGGAGGGTAACGTCTGCTGGACCAGAGCAGTTTTAGAAAATCCAGGATCAGAAATCCCACCAGCACAGTAGTGAGAACTTCCCAGATCTCAGCCATTCCCCAGCCTTTTCTTCCGTTTTCTGCTGCAATCTGAATCTATCCTTGATTCAGCTGCTAATTGTTCATTTGGTGCCAAGTTGTGTTTTTGAGCATTTCCAAATCCTGGCCTGGATCTTGGAATTGGTCTGATCCAAAGCTTTCTACTTCAGAGACAGAAAATCGAATTATGCATATAATCCCAGTACTCGGTATCAGGGTTCCAATTAACACCCTCAACGAAAGAAAACTCCGAGGCTTGAGTTTTCTCAAAGTTCCATTTTATTAGAGATGTCATATTGGCACATCTAGGAAAATCCGAATCTGAAAGTTTCCAGGTTTTCCCCACCCAAAGGAAAGTTCAAGTCCCTGCCCAACACCCACAAGTCCATCACATGGTCCAATCCAAACACCGTCCCAACTGTATATGCCTCCCAGTTCCAGCCGTCCAGGTGCAGGGCAAGATGACCTTGAGTCCAGGGGTTGGGGACCTCTGGATTAACTGATGGGCAGGACAGGATTAACAATATTTATACTGGGGTGTCTAACTTCTAAGGACCACAACTGTATTCACCAATCAAGTTGCAGGCTGCCGAGGTGGCGCAGTGGTTAGAGTGCAGTACTGCAGGCTACTTCAGCTGACTGTTAGCTGCAGTTCAGCAGATCGAATCTCACTGGCTCAAGGTTGACTCAGCCTTCCTTCCTTCTGAGGTGGGTAAAATGAGGACCCATATTGTTGGGGACAAGAAGCTGACTCTGTAAACCACTTAGAGAGGGCTGTGATGTACTATGAAGCGGTGTATAAGTCTAAGTGCTATTGCTATCTACATCAGCTCATTTTTGCAGAATCACATAAAAATGAAAAAAATGAAGGGGAACTGATATTTTTTAATTAGCCTTTCATGCCTCTTGAAGAAAAAGAATTTACAGAAGCATAAAGAAGTTATCTCTGACACGTATATTTCTGAGTATAAATTTTAGCAAATTCATCTAAAATGAGAACAGTCCATATCAGTTCAATATTTCCCCTCTAATATGGAATGGGTTACCCACTGAGCTCTGGACGGCCCCCGACCTCCGCTCTTTCCGCGGTGACCTGAAGACATGGCTTTTCCAACAAATTGGGGTAGATATGGTGGGAGCAGGGGGCCATATCATGTTAGGGGAGCGCGCACTCGCTGTTTATGAGTGATGGCGTGCTCCAGCCCCCAAGGCTCCACCCGTTCCCCAGGTGGCATAGACCCTCAGGGCCCGGGCCTTCGGCTGATGCTATGCAATGCCAGGTCCGTAGTAAATAAAGCCCCCCTCATTTGTGATCTTATTCAGGAGGGGGGTGCGGACCTGGCAGGTATTACGGAGACCTGGTTGGGCCAGGAGGGGGGGGGTTTCCCCTCATTGAAATGTGCCCACCAGGTTTCCACACATTCCATCAGCCGAGGTCACAGGGGAGGGGAGGGGGGGTAGCAGTTATCATTAAAGAAGGTCTGAAACTGAGACGACCGAATCCCTCCTTGTGAAATAGGGCCATGGGGTTCAGATGGGTTTGCTGATCATGTACCTGGCTCCCTGCCACATGGCAGCAGCCCTGCCCGAGCTACTCAACGTCATCGCCGGGGTGGCGGTTGATACCCCCAGGCTTATGGTCATGGGGGATTTCAACCTACCGTCCGTGGGCGAGGCGTCTGAGGTGGCTCGGGAGTTCATGGCTTCCATGACAGCTATGGACCTGACCCAGTTAATTCATGGCCCTACCCACACGGGGGGAAACATGCTGGATCTGGTTTTTGTCTCTGGACAGTGGTTGAGTGATCTTGAGATAGGGGGTATAGTCACCGAGCCCGTGTCATGGTCTGATCACTCTCTCCTTCGTCTCGACATTCGAACTGCTGCACCCCGCCGCAGGGAGGCGGAGCCGGTAAGATGGTTCCGCCCCAGGCGCCTGATGGAACCTGACAGGTTCCAGATGGAGCTTGGGCCATTTCCTGAGGCTCTGGCACACGCCTCGAATGGAGACCTAGTGGCCGCCTGGGATAGGGCGGCCGCTGGAGCTCTGGACCGGGTCATGCCTTTGCGGCCTCTGACCTGGCGCCAATCTCATTTAGCTCCTTGGTTCACTGAGGAGCTGACGGAGTTGAAGCACTGGAAAAGACGCCTAGAGAGTAGTTGGAGGGCCAGTCTTTCTGAATCTGACCGGACACTGGTAAGATCTCATTTGAGGAATTACCTAGTGGCGATAAAAGCAGCAAAATGTACTTATTTTGCTTCTCTTATTCCGTCATCAGATAATCGCCCGGCCGCCCTCTTTAGGGTGACCCGCTCCCTGCTCCACCAGGAAGCGCAGGAGGACCCCTTGGAGGGTAGAGCCAAGGATTTTGTTCAATATCTGTATGACAAAATCACTCAGTTTCCGGAAGATCTGGACTCCGACTGGGTAGTCTCAGGGGGAGGGACTGGGGCAGGTCTTGAGAATGTTATCTGGGATGAGTTTGATCCTGTGACCCCTGAGGACGTGGACAGGATTCTGGGTAGACTGAATGCAACCACTTGTTTATTGGACCCGTGTCCCTCCTGGTTAGTGCTGGCTTCCCGGGAGGTGACACGAGGCTGGCTCCAGGGGATTATAAATGCTTCGTTGGGTGAGGGTGACTTTCCCGCTGCCTTGAAGGAGGCGGTGGTGAGGCCTCTCCTCAAGAAGCCTTCCCTGGACCCCGCAATGTTGGTTAATTATCATCCAGTCTCCAACCTTCGTTTTGTGGTGAAGGTTGTTGAGAGTGTGGTTGCGCAACAGTTCCCCAAGAACCTGGATGAAACGACGTATCTGGATCCGTTCCAGTCGGGCTTCAGGCCTGGGTACAGCACGGAAACGGCATTGGTCGCATTGGTAGATGATCTCTGGAGGGCTCAGGACAGGGGGTGCTCCTCTGTCCAGGTCCTGTTAGACCTCTCAGCGGCTTTTGATACCATCAACCATGGTATCATGCTGCACCAGTTGGAAGAGTTAGGGGTGGGAGGTACCGTACTACGGTGGTTCTCCTTTCTGTCTGACCAGTCGCAGTCTGTGTTGACAGGGGGGCAGAGGTCAACCCCGAGGCCCCTCATATGTGGGGTGCCGCAAGGGTCGGTCCTCTCGCCTCTCCTGTTCAACATTTATGTGAAGCCACTGGGCGAGATCATCCGTCATTTTGGGGTGAATTATCACCAGTACGCTGATGACACCCAGCTGTACATCTCCACCCCGGATCACCCCAATGATGCCCTTGAAGTGATGTCCCGGTGCCTGGAGGCCATACGGATCTGGATGGGGAGGAACAGGCTCAGGCTCAACCCATTCAAGACCGAGTGGCTGTGGTTTCTGACGTCCCGATATAGTCAGTTGGCACCATCACTGACTATTGGGGGCGAATCATTGGCCCCCACGGAGAGGGCTCGCAACTTGGGCGTCCTCCTGGATTCACAGCTGTCTTTAGAAGAGCATTTGACGGCCGTGACCAGGAGGATTTTTCATCAGATTCGCCTGATTCGCCAGTTGCGTCCCTTTCTGGATCGGGACTCCTTATGCACGGTCACTCATGCCCTCGTCACCACCCGCCTCGACTATTGTAACACTCTCTACATGGGGCTCCCCTTGAGGAGCACCCAGAGGCTCCAACTGGCGCAGAGTGCAGCCGCACGGGTGGTAATTGGAGTGACATGGCTTCCCATGTAACACCTCTCCTGTGTGAGCTGCACTGGCTCCCGGTGGTCTTCTGGGTACGCTTCAAGGTTTTGGTTACCACCTTTAGAGTGCTCCATGGCTTAGGTCCTGGTTACTTACAGGACGGCCTACTACCACCAACAGCCGCCCACCGTCCGGTACGGTCTCATAGAGAGGGACTCCTCCGGGTGCCGTCAGCCAAACAATATCGACTGGCGGCCCCTTGGGGGAGAGCCTTCTCTGTGGGGGCACTTACTGTCTGGAATGAGCTCCCCCCGGAGATACGGAGGATCCCGGATCTGCACACCTTCCGCCGCGGTGTGAAGACCTCTTTATTCCACCAGGCGGGCTTGGCCTAATCCTTTCCCTCTTTTTAATATGTTTAGTGCACCCTGTAATTAACACAGCTGCCTGCAATTTCTGCTGGTTCGAATCTCTCCAAGGCTCAAGGTTGACTCAGCCTTCCATCCTTTCTAAGGTAGGTGAAATGAGGACCCAGTTTGTGGGGGCAATAAGCTGACTTTGTATAAAACATACAAACATTGCTCTCAGTACCGTTTCTCTGTGCACTTACTCTCCTGGTTGGTAACACAACAATATCCTTAACAACTTCCCAACCCCATATCTCTAATTCCTTTTCTAAGGACAAAATTCCACTATTTGAGCCCCATTCTGATCTAATTGGCCCATAACATGCACTGGACAAACAGAAAGCATATCAGCAATTTCTTCTATATTCCCCCCCCCTCCCCCATTTTTCTAGCTGTTTCTCTAAAATCTGCCTAATGGGGATGTACAGTGGCCATGGGGATGCAATATAACCAGCTCCTTCAGAAGGACCTGATGGTTCAATTAAAGATGGTTTTGGGGGGACAATTTTAATTTTATCATAATCAGGTGGAGGGTTTGCAGTTAATTGTTGCCCTTCCAAAGCATCAGAGCCATATTTTTCTATTGCTTGACAGCACTGATACCATTGATGTAATATTTTCACAGTAGCCTGCGGTTCAAGATGTAATGTATGTCCTATCTTTGTCCAGTCCCGTAAACGAAGTGACCCCCGTTCCGGGTACCAGGGACAATGTTTCCCTATTTCAACTATCCATTGTCTTATGTCAGTCTCGCATGTAGTGACGCCAAACTTGTGCAAAAAGAATCTGAGTTCCTGCACGTGCGTTTGTTGATATTGAGACAGATTGCAACCCATCACTTACCACTAGGGATCCCTTAGGATGAAAGGTGCACCAGGGGTCTATTCCAGATGATAATAAGGATGTTAAGGATGTTGCGTCCCTGTTCGGGCGCCAGATGTTGTAAATCAGAGGTCCAGGCTTTTGCTCTGTTCCAAGATGTCTCTCCCGCTTTTGCAAAGAGCTTTATTTTTACACAGTTTTACACAGGCAGATAAAAGGAAGGCAAGCAACAGTGTTCTAATTGGATAAATTATTCAGCCCCCTCTCAAGATGCCATCCTCTGAAGGTAAAATGAGATAACCCA